AAATACAGATGGTGCCTCTATAACTACTCTGGTGTCAGCCCTTTTTTTCAATCTTGCTGCTGTTAATGGTGATGGTGCTGATGCCTTTGTTATTAATGACACCAATGGCTAACATTCATGGTGCCAGGCATCACAAGCATTAGCCCATCTCATCCTCACAATAAACATGGGAAGTAACTGCCACTCTTGCTCCTTTTACAGGAACCAAACAGCAAGGAGTTGAAATAACTTGCATAAGGTCATAGGGCTGGTAGCACTAGTGCAGGGACCCATGCTCAGCTCTGTGTGGTTATAGACTGTTCCTCACCCTGACACCATCTTCAGAGATGGCCTCAGGTCCCTCACAACTTCAAAAGTCTTAGTAAGCAGCACTCTCTGCTCTCTAGAACTTTAAAGCCTGAGCTTAAGGAGTGATTGTGTGTCTCTGCTAAGGGCATGTGGCAAAGACCCTAACTGCCCCTGCAACTTTACTTCTCTTCTGGGATAGTGGAGCTAAGCTGTGGTCAGTGGGACTTGATGGAAATGAAACATCTGCCTTCTTAGGAAAGGGCTGTGACTTCTACCCACATCCCCGTCACTGGCTGACCAGCAATCCAGGACCCCAGAAAAGAGGGCCCTGTGCTCATGATGGCAGAACCACTCACCAGGAGTCTGCCTCCCTGACCTAACTCACCCCAGGCTGGTTTTACCCAGCCTTTTTCATAAGAGAGAAATAAACTTGTGTTTTATGCCTCTGTTATTTTATGTCTTAGCTATGGAGAATTTATATTCTAATATAGGCTACCAAGAAAGTGCAAATAGACTGCTATGGAGTCTCTGAGAAGAAACAATTGTTTTTTGGAGTGTATATTTTTCTTTACTTGCACACCTCTCTTACTGAGTGATTTTGATTTCTCTAACATTAAATAGTAAAATTGAGTTAGCTAAGCATGGGAAGAGTGTGAGACACCCAGGGTGATGTTCCCAGAGGCAGGATTAACTGCAAGGTGGATTTTCTCCCTGGGTTTTTACATATACCTGGATCTTAGTTGTTGTGGATTTTCAACAAAACAGGGAAAGTAAGGCCTGTGCATACTAGAGGCTGCCCCCAAGGAAAGCTCTAAAACTCTGAGAGCTGCTTTGAAGTTATCACAGACTATAATCAAAACAGAAATACCCCATCTGATCCTTGCCTGTGTCTTCCTACTCCAAGCATTTAGTTATTAGCCTCCTGTAATATCCACATTGAGGCATTTTTTTTAAAAAAGGAGATATATAGGTTATTTCTATAATGCGGTAGTCTGGTTTTTTCACTTATAAATATATACCAAAAATTTTATAGTTACTATCTGAATTTTGTGTGGAAGTAATTAATTCAATATAAAGAGGATTTTTATAAATCAACAAGACAAACAACAAACAATCACCATATAATACAAGAGACGAATTTCATAAATAGTCCCAACCAATGGCCTCTCTGTATCCAGGCACAGGGTGGTGCCCTGTCACACTGACGCTGAGCTTGGCTAATGGGATGGGAGTATCTGCTCAGAGAGAGCAGAGAACAGGAAAGGACATGAGTCTTTCTCTTTCCCCTGCCATGTTCATGAAAATAAGCCTGAGCCAGCCTAACAGAGGAATAGACCACAAAAGCCAGCCAGCTTCATCTTAAGCCTGCCAGCTTGAGTGACCCACCAGGTGACCACAGATTCATGAGTGAGCTACCGCCTGTGCTCAGCCAGGATCAGCAAAACCACCAGGTTGATCTGCAGACTCTGAGAAATAATAATTAAGTTGTTGCTGTAAGTCACTGAGTTTTGAGGTAGTTTGCTACTAGGCACTGGCTTACTATACAGATTAAAATAGGAAAAGGAAATTAAAATGGCCTACAAACCAATCTAAAGATCTTCAATCTAATTCATAATTAAAGAAACTCAAAACTGAGTCAGTGAAACATTATTATATCCAGTTAGTAGAAATGAAGAATGGTAGCACACAGCTTTGGTGAAGGTGTGGAGGAGGAGTTCGCACTTTCAGAAAAGGTACATGTTGGTGATTTCAAGTCTTGTGGGTGGACATGGCACTCAGGATCCACTCCAACCTCCTTTTATGATTTCCTACATTGCAGAAGCCTTAAAGTTATAAACTGCATTTCCCAGGCTCTCTTAGAGCAAAATTTCTGGATGCAAACTGGATTCTGCTAATGGCTTCAGTTTGAAGAGGAACCGTGTTCCTGCTGGCAGACAGTGCTGGTCCATAGTCTACACTGATAACTAACCTCTGCTGCCTCTCCTCCACTCTGTGAAGGTCTCTGAAGCCGTGAAATCCTGCACAAGGGTTAATCAGCACTGCAACCTTCTTTCTGTTATTTCAAGTGCCCCAGATGTACCTCTCCTCCGTGATTACGCACTGAGCCTTTGCCAGCCTGGGAAGAAGCAACAAGAGATTGGCTGATACCAAAGGCTGGCTAAAATGCCTGCACTCGGGCCAGATAAGGTGCAGTGGCAGAACGTGGGTGGCTGATAACGTAATTATTCCATGGTGTTTTTCTCAGGAATACCTAGGCCTGTCCACATTATATGGTAAATTCCCTGTCTCAGGGACATTGTAAGAAGCTTTTTCATGCACAGACCAGGCAAGGGTGTTCAGCTAAGGTCAGAGGCTAGCCCTCACTTCTATCTTTCTTTTTTTCTTAAAAAAATCACATCACTCTTATTGGCTTTTGATCCCTTCCACACCCTTGCTGGCTCATGAAAGCAATTTTTAAGAAATCTAAAGACTATCAAATATTCATTATTGTAGAAACTGTATTGGGTTGGCCAGAAAAGTTCTTTAGGTTTTTTTTTTCTAGACAATGGATCTAGTAGTGCTTAATTGTCTTTAACTTCATTTGAAACAATTTTGTTAGACTGTATTCTGACAGCTGTCATAGCATCATCACATCATCATGCATTTAAAAAACTTATTAAAATTGGTTAATTTTTGTGCAGCCATTTTAATACTGAAGATGGAAGAAAATGTACATTTTCAGTTTATTATGCTTCATTATTTCAAGAAAAGTAAAAACACAACTGAAACACAAAAAGGATTTGTGCAGTGTATAGAAAAGGTACTGTGACTGATCAAACATGCCAAAATTTGTTTGCGAAGTTGCTTGGTGTCAGGATGGTGGGGTAGAACAAAATGGCGGCTGAACTACAATCCAAAATGGCAGCTGAACTACAACCCAGAAAAGATAGCTGATGTCAAACCAGAGAGCCGAAAGGGCAGGCTTTGCCAAAATGGATATCCACATAGCAACCTAAGCCCGAGGAAAGCCACCAATGATATATTGCTGCTTTGTTTAAAGGGACCAATCCCCAGCTCCCACAAAAGGAGTCAATCCCGCCATATTCCCTGCTTGGACGTGACTTCCCTAGCTCCACTCTGTGGATGGGAGAACCTCGCCTGGGTGCGCAAACCCCAATAAAGCTCTATACTGCCTAACTTTGTGGCTGATTGGCTGGCATTTCTTCCTTGGAGGAGCCTAAGAAAACCTTTCACTCGGTATTATTGACAGTTTGGCGAAATAGTTCCTTGCTGAGGGTCTATCTTATGCACTGGAAGATGTTTAGCAGCACTCCTGGCCTCCCCCCACTACAAGCCAACATACTCAAAATATCCAAATCAATACAGTTATAGGTGAAAAATGAAAAGTATGCCTTTTACTAAATGGACTTTTTGGTCAGTCCAATAACATACACGTTCCTTAAGTCCCACACACTCCAAATAGTGATGGTAAATGAAATATGAGGGTGGGTTGCACCTGAAACATTCCCATATCTTTACTCTCTCTCCCCTCCCAAATGTTCCCTCTGTACTGGGAGCTCAGCCTCCTGCAACTGCCTGCTGGACCTGCCCCGTCAATGAGCCTTTGCTCTCTCACTGCTCCGATTTCCTCCTATCACTGGATCCTCTCCATGTCTCATCTTTTCTACAAAAATCTATCCTGTCAAACTACTTTCTTATGTATTTCTCTTTCTTCAGCACTTGACACATCTAACGAGCAGAGAGGCATGCACAAGCCCCACCATCTCTCCAGTCCTTTGCTCAGCCATGACATTCCAGGGATGGGATCCAATATCCTTTCTTCAGTCCCCACCCCCTACATGCTTCCTTTAAAACAAAACAAAACAAAACAAAACAAAACAAAACAAAACAAAAAAAACAATAACTACAACATAAAAGACTAAATGTGGACAATAATATGGTGGAATACTAGGGAGTTAACAATAACAGTTCAGCATCTGGCTGGTGAGGCTCAGCAGATTGAGTGATGGCCTGTGAACCAAAAAGTTGCCATTTTGATTCCCAGTCAGGGCACATGCCTGGATTGCAGGCCAGGTGCCCAGCTGGGGGCATGTGAGAAGCAAAGATTGATGTTTCTCTCACACATTAATGTTTCTCTCCCTCCCTTTCTCCCTTCTCCTCTCTCTGAAAATAAATAAAATATTTAAAATATATAAAATAACAGTTCACAAAGATTTGAAGAGTATCAGGATATGTTTGCAATATAACATTAGGGGGAAAACTGCATAGGTAGCATCATCTCAACTACATACATCTAAAAGACTAGGAGAAAAAAAGTGGTGACTTGAGTAGTGGAATTACAGGTTATTTTTGTTTTCTCTTTTACTTGTGTATTTTACAATGAGTTGTAAAAAAATCTGGAATAATAAAAAGAACATTTCTCTAATCTGCCACCTGCTCATAAATTCTAGCAATGCCACAGTTAAGTTGACTTTAGTGCCTGACCCTCTGTATCTTGTTACCTGAACTTCCTTCACAAAAGTTCTTTTTCTTTTTGGCATGAGTTTTGTCATTTCTTTTTCATTTTGTAATTCCTTTTCTATTTTTATTTTTAATATATTTTATTGATTATGCTATTACGGTTGTCCCATTTTCCCCCTTTATTCCCCTCTGCCCTGAGCACACCCTCCCACCCACATTCCCACCACTTTAGTTCACGTCCATGGGTCATATATATAAGTTCTTTGGCTTCTACATTTCCTATATTATTCTTAACCTCCCCCTATTTTCCACCTACCATTTATGCTACTTATTCTGTGTACCTTTCCCCCCTCTCCACTCGCTCCCCCACTGATAACCCTCCATGTGATCTTCATTTCTCTGATTCTGTTCCTGTTCTAGTTGTTTGCTTAGTTCATTTGTTTTTGTTTTAGGTTTGGTTGTTAATAACTGTGGGTTTGTTGTCATTTTACCCTTTATATTTATCTTCTTTTTCTTAGATAAGTCCCTTTAACATTCCATATAATAAGGGCTTGGTGATGATAAACTTCTTTAACTTGACTTTATCTGGAACGCTCTTTATCTGCCCTCCCATTCTAAATGACAGCTTTGCTGGGTAGAGTCATCTTGGATGTAGGTCCTTGCCTTTCATGACTTCAACTACTTCTTTCCAGCCCCTTCTGGCCTGCAAGATTTCTTTTGAGAAATCAGCTCAGTCTTTGGGCACTCTTTTGTGGGTAACTGTCTCCTTTTCTTTTGCTGCTTTTAAGATTCTTTCCTTATCTTTAATCTTGGGTAATGTAATTATGATGTGCCTTGGTGGGTGCTTCCTTGGGTCCAAGTTCTTTGGGACTCTGAGCTTCCTGGACTTCCTGGACTTATTTCCTTTGCCAGATTAGGGAAGTTTTCCTTCATTATTTGTTCAAATAAGTTTTAAATTTCTCACTCTTCCTCTTCTCCTTCTGGCACCCCTATGATTCAGATATTGGAACATTTAAAGATGTCCTGGATGTTCCTAAGCCTTTCCTCAGTTTTTTGAATTCTTGTTTCTTCATTCTGTTCTGGTTGAATGTTTCTTTCTTCCTTCTGGTCCACACCATTGATCACTGTTGGTTCCTTTATTTCACTCAGCATAGCCTTCATTTTTTCATCTAATTTGCAACCATATTGAACCAATTCTGTGAGTATCCTGATTGCCAGTGTTTTGAACTGTACATCTGATAGGTTGCTTACCCCTTCATCGCTTAGTTGTATTTTTTCTGGAGCTTTGAACTGATCTTTCAGTTGGGCCATTTTTTTTCATCTCAGTGCGCCTGTCTTGTAGTAAGGGGTGGAGCCTTAGGTGTCACTAGGGCAGAGCAACTCACGTTGCTGTGTTGCGATGCTGTATGTGGGGGGAGGGACAGAGAGGGAACAATGCAGCTTGCTCCACTCTCTGCTGGATTTCAGTTACTTCCCCCTCTTCTCTTAAGCAAATTGGGCTCTTCTGATGATTACTGGGTAGGTGGGTTTGTGTACGTTCTAGGACCCTGTGGGTCTCTCCAATGAACTCTCCCGTGAGGCATGGAGTTTTACCTGCTGCTGCCTCAACCCCCACAGTGTTCTCAATCAGAGGTTTGAGGCTTTATTTCCCTGTGCTGGAACCCTGCTCAGTCTGTCCCGCCCCCTTGTTGTTCCTCCCAGTTTATCTGCATGTGAATGTGGGACCACCCAGTCTGCCAGCTGCTGCCTTGCTGAGAGTCCTCTCTACCCAGCTGCCTGTCTCTGCCCCTCCTACTGGTCTGGATGAATGTTTAACTCCTTGGTTGTCAGACTTCCATACAGTTTAATTTTCTGTCAGTTCTGGTTGTTTTTTTGTTTTTAAATTTGTTGTTGTCCTTTTGGTTGTGAGAAGGCACAGTGTGTCTACCTACACCTCCATCTTGGCTGGAAGTTCCTTCCTTTTCTATTTTTGTCTTGTAAATACTTTCTTGGTAATTGATACATGTCAGTCCTGGCTATTTTCAAATATTTACCATTCTTACTGATTTGTATCTCTCCTCAGGACTTCGGCCTGATCAGTCCCAGGAACAGACTGTCGCAGTGGATCAGGTGCTCTTCCAGGACCAGCCAAAAGCTCTGAGGAAGTGACTCTGTATCAGGGTGCTGAAAATCTTGGTGAGTGTGCAGGTGTGTTCTCTGGAGGGGAGACTTGGTGAGCCACCTGCAGCTCAGTGCGCTTGGTCATGTGAGTGGGAGCTCGAAGCTGTGTGGAGGACGGATTTGAAGAGAACAAGACTGAGAATAGGAGGAATGGTTAAAAAGCTGCCACAACAGTGGTCTGGACAAGAGTCTGAAGGCTTGAATCAGGGAGTCTTAGTAGGGCTGGGGTGGAATAGACTAAGCAGGGCTTCCTGCTGGAGGAAGAGTTACAGATTCCTGGTTTCCAACTTTGGTGACTGGGTGACTTGCAGTGTCATCAAGTTAGGCAGTGAACATGGGCACACATGTAAACAGGTTAAGAGGAAACCTAGGTTTTGAATGAATTGAGTGTGGGACAGTCTTAGAATATCTGTGCAAAAAATGTACAGCAGGCAGTGGAAAATAAAGGTTAGAGACTAGAGTGTCACCAGCATTAGGGTTCAGGTGAAATGAGGAGAATGGATGAGATGGCTCTGGGAACATATGCAGAATATGAACAACAGTGAGTTGGAGACAGAAGTTGTCACACTAGCATTTACAGGACATTATGGAGATGAAAAAGGAACAGTTAGAAAGAAAATCCCAGGAGAATGCTATTGGAGGTGAGAAGAACACACTTCTAGAAGGTGGGAGTGATGAATAATTAAAATGAATGGATCAGTAACGTGGCTAAAACTGTATTACTTGATTTGGTTATTGGGAAGTCTCTGGTAACCTGATAGAGAAAAGCCCTGCACAGAGTAGCAGCTAGGCTGGACCGCAGCAAGCTGAGCAGTGCCTATGAGTTGATGGAACCGAGGGTAGCCCCTCTAAGGGATTCTGGGTGAGAAAGGATGGTTGGGAAGGAACAATAAACAGGAGGGGCTGCATTGTGCAAGGGCCAAGGGGTAAAATGAGACCCTCTAGGTAAGGTGCTTGGCAAAGAATCTAGGATATAGTAAGTGTTCAAGAAACATGAATTGATACCATTCACTTGTTGATCATATAATGTCAAACATTACAATGTGCCGGGCTCTGTTCTGGGTCTGCAGATTAAGTGAGTAAGCAAGAGAGACAAAAGCCCTGCCCAAGGAGCTGACATTCTAGTGGGGAGACAGACAAGAAACAAGATGAAGTAACTCAAAATTTATAATATACTTGATAGTGGTAATCATGAAGGAGAAAAAAACTAAGGAGATATAAAATGCTGAAGGCAACAAAATTTTAGAGTGGGTGGCTTAGGGGGGCCTCACTGAGGTGACTTTTAAGACTCAAAGAACTGAGAAAAGTACCTATAACTAGAAGTAGGAAGTAATGTTAATTATTATCACTATTGTCATTAGCATTCTTAATACATTATTACAGTAAGGTGGTTATTGTATAGTCACTACTATCTGCCACAGTTAATGTTATCGTCATTACTGCCACCTCTGGAACTCCTGGGAACAAACCTGTAACTAGATATTCCCTCACTGCTGCCCGGTGGGGAACTAGTACGAGTGGGTACAGTAGAAGCAAAGCTGCATCTGTGAACGGTCTCACACGTAGTCACTGCAAATTAACAGCAGCTTCACATATACGCTGAGGGGATGAGGAAGCCAGCACCAGACTGAACTGCCATCCCGCCTGCACATAACAGGGCCGTCTTCATACCCCAGGGGCAGAGGCACAGACATCTCTGAAGCCGCTGTGACTGCAGCTTGAATCAGCGAAGATGTGATGTGTATGACATAGAGGTCACAAGATTATACAATCAAGTTATGTTACTGCCAGATGTTTAACCTGATTGTTGGGTACAAGACTCAGCCAGTACCATCTGGGCATAATAAAGAACTGGAATTTCTGGCTGTTCACCTGGCCCAGCACATCACTGAGAATAGCTGGGTATGTGACAAGCTCTTAAGGGATTACACTGAATCTGTGGATTAGGCCTTGCTTGTGATGAATGCAGTTGATCTTTCCACAGATTGACTTGGACTAATTGCTATCCTCCAAAATTCAGAGAAAATCATCCTCCCTACCCCCCAAAAAAGAAGAGTCCAAATGCCTGAGGACTCATCCTATTTTTAATATGTTTAAATTGCTACAATTTTTTAAAAGGTACAACGTCAAGTGTTCATTCCTTCACAATCACAGGCTTCAGTGGCAGGTGGCATGGGACAAATGTGACCTGCAGGCTTTAACAACAAACTCCATTCCTCAACTGAGGTAACAGAAAAGTCTTGCAAGTATCTTAGATGCATTTTTCAGGTGTATTTATTATCCTAAGGGACTGAATACTGAACTTGTCTAATAAAAAAATAATAATAACCTCAAGATCAAAGCATAGTTTAACTAGCAGTGCTTAGAATCTAGAAATGTGTTAATTGATTCCTTGCAAATGTCTGTGTAAATAAAATATTATAAGCACTTCTTTTCTGGCTACAAAACTAAAACCATTGTAACAACCAAGAAAATGCCTATGAAAGAAAGTAAACAGGCCAATTATTTATGGTTCAAGCTAATAGCAATCTGTTATATTTTTAATATTATTGTCTAACTGTATAATATTTACTATAAAACATTTCACATACACATACGAACATACATATAGAAAAGTATGTATACTGTATTATACTCACGCACATTACATGCTTCTCTAAGGAGCCCAGACACTGACTTCACGAACACCAAGTCTACTTGAAGGCCACGATGAGACGCAGGTAAGGAGGGATTCTGAGTGTGCCTGCCCACAGCTAGGCAGCCAGTGGCCACATCTTCTGTGAATCTCAGACGCAGTGGAAAGTGTAGGTGAGGGAGGGCAGAGATTTCACTGAACCTGGTAAAGTCTAAGCAGCAGGAGAAGTTTCCATGAGTTTATTGCCTTTGTTTAGAAACAGCTTCATGCTGTCACACTGTGGCCGAAGCACCGAAGGATGTCTGCACTCCGTGTGAGCTGCTGAGCCAGGGTGCCCGTGATGTCTGGAGAGTCCCGCAGCCCAGACCGCAGAAGAAACTGGACACAGGCCACATGCTGACCTGCGCAGGCCAGGTGCAGGGCTGAGTAGAGACAGAAGTCACGTGAACTTAGTGCACAACCCCCAAAGCAATACTGACCTGGTTGATAGGTTGCTCCTAATGAAAATATTGATTCTTTCAATTGTACAGGTTTTATATTTCTATAATCTGTCCATATGACTGCCTATACTAGATCAAAACATTTTCCCTTTTAACCTGATTGGGTTAGAAATGGCTTAAAAATAACAAGACCAATTGGAGAAGATTTAAGAGACTTGTCTAAAGCAACAAAACAAGTTTATGAGAAATAGGAGACTTTAAATGGTACAGAATACATTTTCAAAGTTTTGTGAAATCTCTGTGTAAGTAAAAATATCACTGTAAATAAGAATGATGTGACCAAACTACCCCCTACTCCCTGTGGGGGAAAAAAAGCAATAAAACAAAAACAGCTGACAAATCTTCATGTTCCACTTAGAATTAGCACTGGATGGACCCTGGCTCTGTTCTCATCTTTAGGAGAAACCTGTGTCTCTGGACTTAGTGACCACCCTCTGTGGCCCCAGAGTGAGTAGTTAGTTATCTATGAGGTTTTTGTTGTTTTTTTTTAAATTCTGAGTCTTTGAAGCATCATGAAGCTCCAACTAAACTCCTGAAGAATGGTGCAGAGAATGTTACTGAGGTTTATTCTAAAGTCCGAGTTTAAACAATTAGCTCTGACAATATCCCTTTGAGCCCTAAATTAAGAAAATTGTAATGGCTATAGTTTTTATGTACACTTCAAAGAGAGATGACCTATGAAGAATCTATAGAATGAATACCTGGATAGCTAGTAGCATCATGGGTGAAAATAGAAAGTGCTTTCATGTCACATATATTGTGCAGTTTAAAACAAAAACAATAATAGTAACAGTAGTAGTCATGAGTAGTAGTCACCATCATTGCCATGGTAATAGCAGTAGTTCTATAGCTTTGCAAACACAGATGTTATTTTAAGGAAGTTGCTAAGCTAGTATTAGCTTAGTATTAATTAGGATTAAAAAAATGTACAACTGTAAAAAAATGTTTTTAAAAGGCCACGTATTGTTTACATTCCACTGACTGATAATTTCCAAGGCACACAGAAGTCGTACCTGATCGATTTCTTTCATCTTTAGAGTTGATGTCAGCACCCAAGGATACCAGCATCTGAACTGTGCTCACATGTCCTTCCTGAGGGTTGAAATAAACTTGTTATCACTGTGACAAGGACCTTTTGGTGATATTCAGTTATTATAATATAGATGGTCAACTCTGTAGGCCAAACTAGCAACTAAAACAGTTGGATTTCCTTCAGTATAATAAGTGTAATTATTGTGATTGCTTGTGAACATACAATTCCAAATTATCCCAAGCACATATATACTTTGCTATAATCCTTAGGGCAGAAATAAACTAGAAAAGACAATCACCTCTCCTGGGTAGGATTCTTATCATAGCTGGCATTATCATTCATGAGGCAATTCATACACTTTCTATCTCTCTAGTTAGTCCATTAGTGTGTGGTGGGACTAAAATCAAGGTTGGAGGTTCAGTTTTCCTGTGGGTGGACCCAAGAGCATCCCAGTCTCCTGCCCCTGTGGCCACAGATCACACTCATAGCCCACCCTCATTTATCTACCCACTTTCTCATAGGGAAGTGCAAGCAAAAATGTGTAGTTCCCCAGAAAACATTTATTCTTGTTGCTATAAAAACAAGAAGAGGAAAGTAGCCAATTATGTTAAAGACAATAAGCAAAAGACTCCTAGCATTTAAATGGGAGAATATAAGCAGCTGCTTTTATAGTGAAAACTTTTTGCATGTCTTAAATATTTTATACATTAGAGAGGCCAGTAAATGCAATTCCCTTGCCTTAGTTAAAGAAATTTTAACTTCTGAAATCAACTTAAGTATAGAGAGCTAGGAATCTGACCCAATGAAATTTTATAGTTTCAAATAACACCATTCTTGAAAACAAAAAAGGGCTGGAGGAAACATAAACTCTGGGCATTTTATGGAAAAAAGGGTGTTTTGAGTTTCTACCTAGCAACAAATAAAAAGGCAAGTTTCTAGTTAAAGGGACACGGGGATTCAGAATCATGACCATTTGGGGAGCATATCATGAGCAATTTCTTTCTTCCACAGAGATGGAGCCAGGGAAATAGAGCTTGGAGCTATTCATTAGTGGAGTAAGGCAAGCCTAAGGAACCAGAGATAGCCTTATGAAAAAAAAACAAACCTTAGCTGCATAATGAAGTGCTGTGAGGTAGGTTGATGTTGCTCTCACATCGACATCAATGCCAAGTTCAGAGACCAAGAATCGGATGGCTTCATTCTGCCCAGTGACTGCTGCCCTGTGTATAGCCTGGGCCCCCAGGGAATCCTCAGCAGAAATACAAGCCTAATAGATTGGGAAGAGAGAGGAACAAAAATAAGAAGCAGAGAAACCTGGGTCCATGGATCTTCTAACATTTTAGCTAAACTTTATGGGCTATGTGCATTTTTCTGGGCTGATGTTATATAGCTTTTGTCAGATTCTTGAAAGACTTTGTAAACAAACAAACAAAAAAACAAAATGGTTAAGATTTAACGCTCTAAAGCAGGGGTCCCCAACCCCTGGCTGTTAGGAACCAGACAAGGGCAGGGAAGCTTTGCTCACATTACTGCCTGAGCTCCGCCTCCTGTCCCCCACCCTCCCTTTCGCCCCCTCCCCTGGCCCTGTCTGTGGAGAAACTGTCTTCCACAAAACCGGTCTCTGGTGCCCAAAAGGTTGGGGGCCACTGCTTTAAAGTGCACTAACGGTGCACTCAGTGGGGAGTTTATTGTTATTACTATAAAACAGCTACTGTTTATTGAAATCTTACTTTGCTAATTGCTTTATGTACATTATATTATTTGTTCCTTAGAATAACACTCTGAAGAATTTAAATTTGTCAGCACTTTACACATAAAAATACTGACACTCAAAGAGGTCAAAGGGTCCCATGTGGGGACCGTGGCAGTGCAGGAATTTGAACCCAGGATATGAATAACTATAACTTCTGTTTATCCTATGACCTAAGACTCATAGGAAATAACAAAGGAATAAAACCAAACCATTACTATACCTTATGTTCTTCAAGGAGCAGCCTGGCTATGTTGATATACCCACACTGAATCGCATCCATGAAGGGTGTGAGGCCACACTTGTCTCTGCAGTCTGGTTCATACTGACACCTAGGGCCCAAACCCAGAATAACAGAGCTGAGAAAAGCCACTGCTTCAGACCCAATGAACAGTTGAGTCTTGACCACTTGCGGTAGGTGACATGCCCTACAAATGATCTGTGAAAGTCCAGAGCACTCTCCCTCTTTCCATCTATGTCAGTATCAGAACTTAGCTCTTCAACACTGTGTCAATTTCCAGCAGTGAATCTGCTCCTCCTGTAACCTTTGTTCCCTGACGTTGTGGACTAGCAGCTGTCCAGCTTCTCATGCCAGAAACCCTGCAGTCATCCCTAGGCCCTCATAACAGATATAGACCGAAACCTCTCAGTGCCTTCAGGAAATATCTTTTAAACGTTTCTTTCTATCTCTGCTTTCTCCCCGGTCCAAGTCAATAGATAATAACCTTCTAACCATTTTCCTCACCTTGGCTTCTGCCTTGCTAATAATCCTTTCTTACAGTTACCAGAATAATCTTTCACCATGTAATTCAGGTGTGGCCACTCCTGTTAAAAACCTTTAACTACATTCAAAAAACAAAGCACAAAATGTGGAACCTCAGCACCACCTCTGGTGGCCAAGATAATGTGGCACAAACTTACCTCTCCAGGTTTCTCTCGCCCACCTACCTTCCACCCCAAGCTTACTGCTGTAAGAACTGTGTTCTTCCTGGGTGTCCTCTCTTCTAGGTCCTGTTTATTTCCGGGTCCTACCTGTCCTACCATCTTCTTAGTCCCACCTCCTACCTGTCCTATCTTCTTACATTCCTACCTTCCTTACAATCCTACCTGCCCTACTGTCTTCCTGGTCATACCGTCTTCTTGTCCTATCTTCTTCTGTCCCACCTCTCCTTTTCCCGTCCCTGCCTTCAACCTCCTGCCCTATCTTCTCAGTCTCACCTCCCATAAGTCCAATCATCTTCTCTCTTACCTTCTTCATGGTCCTGCCTTTTTCCTGCTCTCTCATTTGCCCAGGTCTTTGCTACCTTTGCACTTGCTGATCTCCTCTGCTCGGAACATTACTTCTCCATTCTTCACTCAGCAAACACCAGCTTATCATCACAGCTTCGATGTGACCTCACAGAGGCCTGTCTTCTCTCCTGCATCAACAGTACCCTTGCTTCCCCATACCACTGTACACATTTTTTGTGGTATTATGGGTTCCCCCATTATCTGAAAGTAGAGCATTCCTATGAAACCTTCTGTAAGCCAAAATGGTGTAAAGCAGTATCTCCAGCTTCCTGAAAGTTTGCATTACCTATACTGCTTACTTCACTTTTATGAAAGACCTCCATTAGTACAGTATCTGCTTTTCTTGGTAAGTAAAAATCCTCTTTGGATTTCTTTTGGTTAGTGAAAACAGCTAGCAATGTAGGTCTTGTGTAAAGGCCAAGTGAGATAATATGAACTTTCAGAAAGTTGGGATACCTGTATTACAATTAAAAATTTTATGGTATTTATTTCTGATTGTTTACACTCGGCTTCCACACCAGCCTATAGGGAAGGGACTGTGTTTGTTTTGCTTACCACTGAGTACCTAACACATAGGAAGTGCTTTAAAAAAGTCTTCAATGGATGAATACTTGAAAATTTTCAGACAACCAAGTATGTTCCAATTATCAGCAGATAAGCTTTACACATAAGCAGTGCTTTCAGGGTACTGCATTAAGTTCTCTTCTTGTCTTACCAAGTATTGTCTCCTCAGGTGATATGTTGCACTCTTACGAATTCGGTCACCACTTCTATGTTGATGAGGCCCACATTTCTATCTCAGCCTACACCTGTCCTTTGGGCTTCATATCTGTGCCTCTAACTGCCCTCTTGATGTCTTTGCTTGGATGTCTCACAGGAACATGCAACTCAACGTGTCCAGAAGTGAAACTGGCATCTTCCCCACAAACCCGCTCCTCCTGCACTGCTCTCCACCTCAGTAAATGGCACAAGCACCATCATACCAGCTGCTTAAGTGAGAAACCTGAAAGTCACCCTTGATTTTTCCTTCTCCCTCATTTATTTTATGGAATTATTTCCCTACATCTATTGATTCTACCTAAACATCTCCAAACCTTTTTCTTCATCCCTACAGTCAGCTTCTCAGTCCAGCAACCATGATCTCTCTCCTGTCTAACAGCCTCCCAACAGTCTCTCAACAACCTTCACGGCACCCACTGTTGTGAATTCCTCCAATTCATTCAATATTTTGCAACCAGAGGATCTTTGAAAAATGCGGATTTCTTACCACCCATCCCCGTGCTTAAAACACTTCAGTGCTTTAACACATGCTTAAAACACATATGCTTAGAATAAAACCTAAAAACTGGCCTTCGTCTCCGGCCTCACCCTGCACCCTTCCCCCCTCACTACATATGGGCTTCAGGGTATACTGAGCTTCTTTCAGTTCCTTACATGTACTGTGTTTTTCCCAGGCTCTGAGCATTCTCTGGTACTGTTTCCTCGTCTGGAAGGCCCCCCTGCTTCCTACTGTCTGCCTCCTTCAAGTCACAGTTCAAATATCACTGGGGCTGAGATTCCTTACTCTCAGACCTTGCTGTACCTTCCTGTCATAAGCTCCTGTAGGGATCCCGCAATTCTTTGTTAATGGTCACTAGACTAACATGACTTGTGCACTGTCTGTGACTTCCATGAGAGGGAAGCCGCATTGTCTCATTTCTGTTGCAGCCCCCGCATCTGGTACAATTCATACTAGATGAATTAATAGATGATGAATAAATGGATGAATATTGTTGAATGAAAAGACAAATGAATGATTTTCTCTCACGTTTGTTAGCTATTTTTGTTTTACGTTGAGTTATCTGCTTATGTCCTTTCTTCACTTCTCCATTGGTGCCTTAAATTGCTCTATGAATGATTTGCTTGAGTTCTTCATGTAGCATCAATATTAACTGTCATAATTAGCAAGTATCTCCCTCAATTTGCTGTTTTGTTCTTACCTCTGAAGAAGCACCTTTACTGCCTCTAAACAGCCATGCATTGCTGGGAGAAGAGATTTGAGAATTAGAGTTTATACATAAAAGACTTCTTTCCTGCTAGCACCGATCTCTGTCCCATTTTTTAGCTATGATTTACAAGAAGGTATAATTTTATTAGGTACATTAATATAAATTTGGCTGGATAACTGGTCTATAGCCAAAACTGATTGTCTTTCTTAGTACTTTCACAACAAATTTTCAATCCTAAACTTATCTCCTCACTTTTGTGCCTAGAAAATGTAAAATATTTTAAGAGTAATCCATGACAAAATAAGCAGGAATTTCATTCTCCTACTAAAAATAACTATAGTCAATAATAGAGATTTTTGACTCTCTGTGCTCTGGTACTTTGTGTAAATGACAGGGTGCTGATTCTCCAGACAGGCAGGGGAGCTAGTTGGACAATTGGTGGGAAGAGAAACATTTGCTACTCACTGGCAAAGTTTTAAAAGGAATCCCTTGGTTTCTACCTGCCCGCTATGGGTAGAACAAATGTATGCTTATTTCCTAAGTTATATCATGTCATAAGCATTGATTTTCAGAGAAACTAACAGCCCTGTATTCTAACTCAATGCACTCTCTAGAAGGCTGAAGATTATTTTCTAAATTTCTTGGTCTGGATTGTTGAGCTCATTAACATCTATTTTATCTTATGCCATTGCATTTTTGCTTGTTACTAATTTAAAATACTGTACAAATAGATAATTCAGAATGAAGAAAAATTACTCAAAACAATGAAAACTGTGCCCCAAATTTGTATTTGACATTATCACTAGATAAGTCAAATACACCCAGATCCAAGTATTAATTATAAGCACCTATATTTATTTAAATGAGTAGTGCTATGGTAGGAATTGCTGAGAATATTTTAAAAAAACGTCTCTTTTCCTACTGCCTTTAATAATACAAACAATGTAGAAATGATAAAGTAGTAGCAGCTAGTTCTATGCTCACATGTTAAGCACTGTGCTATAGGTTTTACATACATCTGGCTCCTTAAACCTTATAAGAACCTTGTGATACAGGCATCATTGTCATCATTATCTTGCTGATGAGGAAACTTGATAGTGAGGAACAGAACCAGCTTGCCATCTAGCTGGGGAGAGTAGGAATGATATGCATGAACTAATAAGAAAGAAGAGCATGTTCTGTGCCAAATGACATTAGCTTCATAAACTGAGTGTATGCCAAAATACCTAAAAGCTGTTCTTATTCCCTGATCTCTTTTCCAAAACCCTCCAACTTCGTGACATTTGGCAGTGCTAGGAAGGCATGCTGCACATCTGTGCTTGTGCGCCTGCAGAGCTCTGGACCATACCTGCCGTGTGCAGGGGAGTGCGGCCAATTTTGCTCTCTGTCTTCCAGGAATCTGGGCATACGGTGAGTAAGTACTGGAGGATTTGAGGGTCACCTTCTCGACAGGCAATGTGGAAGCTGTTCCAGCCATCTTTGTTCTTCAGAAGTGGATTTGCACCATGTTCCACAAGGTCCTGGATCACCCCAAGATTCTTTCTTGTGCAAGCCATCATCAGAGGAGTCCTGAGGCCAAATACGACAAACTGTCAGGTGGAGGAGGTGAACCTCCTCCTTTTAGTGTGTGTGTATGTGTGTTTGGAAGCTGTTTCCTTATCTGAAGAATTGCTTCAAGAAATATAAGAGGTCTTTCCTCTTGGAACTGTCTTTATTTTATTTTTTAAAAGATTTTATTTCTTTATTTTTAGAGAGAGGATAAAGGAGGGAGACAGAGAGGGAGAGAAATATCAACACGTGGTTGCCTCTAGTGTGCCCTCTACTGGGGACCCCGCCTGCAACCCAGGCATGTGCCCTGAATGGGAATCAAACCAGCAACCCCTTGGTTTGCATGCTGGCACTCAATCCACTGAGCTACACCAGGTAGGGCTTATTTTATTTTTTTAAACATCACCCAAGGGTGTTTATTGATTTTAGAAAGAGAGGAAGTGGGGGTGGGGGGCAGGGATAAGAGAGGGGGAGACACAGAGTTTGGATCAATTGCCTCCAGGGACCAAACCAGCAATCTAGGTATGTGACCTGACCCAGGATTGAACCTACAACCATTTGGTGTACGGGACAAAGTTCCAACCAACCAAACTACCCTGCCAGGGTTTAGAATTTTCTTTAGATCAATTTACCAGCAGCACAAGAAAATCAGTCTTGTGCTTAGTCACAGCCAAAGTGCAGCCCTCAAAACACAACCATGCCTACTCCCCTCCTACTGTAAATACTCTTTACTGCATATGGCTGTCTGCTCTGTTTCTTACTTATATCACATCAGGAATTATTTGTAACCAAGAACTTCATTATGTTATGAATCTTAAGGCCTTCATAATATCTAAGGAGCTGGACACAGGGAGTACTGAAAACAACATTGGTCTAACAAAATGCAATTGGTTTGGGTGATGGTAAAAGTGAGCATCTTTGACTGTGGAAGTAGTTATGCAAGGTTTTATACATAATAAAATCACAGAGAGCACCACCTTTACACAAGTGTATCTGGTGAACTGTGAATAAGCATATTTTTTGTAGCAATGTCAGTTTCTTAGTTCTGTTATTATGATGTAACTGTGTAAGATGTTAACTTTGGGGGAACCTGGGGGAAGGGCACGTGGGACTTCCCTGAACATTTCCTTGAATATACCTTTCTGTGAACCTATAACTATTGTAGAATAAAAAGCTAACTCAATGCCATTGGTGTTGGTAATGCCAATCATTTACTTAGATGTTCCCAGAAGAACTACATATCCTGGGGCTCATGTTATACGTAGTACAGACAATTCATTGTTTGATATTATTCTATCTGGTAATATTCTGTACTGTTCTCTGCTTTATAAAGAGAAGTAAATGCCTGGACCAGTTGACTCTCCAAGGGTAGGAACAATGTGCCCTAACGGGGAAGGCTGACAGGCTATGCAGTAGAGGCAAAGTAAATGGGAATCTATGATTCTGCGGGAAAGGGATATCTTTCTGGATACTCCTGGATATTCCGCCACCTACCAGTCACCCCTCTTCAGGCAGTCGACCATGGCTCGCCCGCACAGCAGGTACTGCACGCAGTCTCGGTGGCCCATGGAGGCAGCTTCGTGTAGAGGCCGCTTGTAGTCTCGGTTGGCGGCCTCGATGTCTAAGTCCCAGTCCTCGGCCAGACAAGCAAGAATGTCCCGATGCCCATGGCGGGCGGCGCAGTGCAGCAAGGTGTCGCCAGCCAGCCCCGCGCAACCAGCGCCCCCAAGTCTCTGCAGCTCCTCCCGCAGGATGCACAGTTGGCCTTCTTGCACCAGCCTGAAGAGCCGCCTGGGGTCCCTGGGCGCCGCCATGGTCACCGGGGCCTAACGAGGTGTCAAGAGTCCCCTGACCTGACCTGCGTGTGGGGTGGGCGTACTGTACACCACCCAGGTGTCCGTTTCTCACTCTGGACCCCACTCGGGAGTGGGGTAGGGGAGAGACCGCGCTTCCCTCGGCTGGGTGTTTAGTGCATCTGCAAACTTGCCTCGCAGGTCGCTGCTAATGCACGCTCCAGGTGCAGACAAAACCGTGTTCGAGGACGCGCGGCACTTAGGGAAGCTGCCGCTCGTAAGGCAAAAGATTTCATTTTGGGGCAAAACACTGGATAGTGTTTTGCTGCTGTCGAACCCACCGAGATGGGCCCGTGCTGCCTGGCGCCCGTCTGGGCCCGCTCTCACTCTGCGTCGTAGTGGGGCCAGCCTGGGATTTGACTTCCTCCACGGAAGCGGGTAAGTTAGGTATCCGCACTAGTGAAGAGCTCCGATCCGGGCCCGCTGGATGGCAGCTCCGAGCCCACGAGACACCTGTGAAGGAGCCAGCCGGGAGCCACCGCCGCCCCAGAGATGGGGTGGGGCTCCGCAGTTCCCGACCCACGGCCCCTCCCTCACTAAACCGAAAGCAACCTCAGCTCCACCGCCCCTCCGTAAGTCCCCGAGAGCTCGGAGGAACTCTGGGAAAGTTTCCATTGGCCTCTAATCCTTAGCGGAAGCACGGGCAGGCGGGGCTGCTGGCCGAGGCCGCGCCCCCTCCACACTCGCTTTCCAATTGGCCGTGGGGGAAGTCCATCAGCCCAAGGCTGGCTCTTCCCGGGGCAGCTATAGGGCTGAGCTGTCAGAGGAAGTCCGAGGCCTGCTCCGTTTAGCGCTGCCTTGTGGATGCCGGGACTGGGAGGCCAGACGGCCCGGGTCTGGGGGCAACGGCGGTGGCTGCAGCCTCGGACCGGAGCGCCATAGTGCGTGAGGCCACGGTGGCAGGGAGCGCGGGTGGGACCCTGAGCAGTGAACACTTAATCTTTTGGGGTCCTGAGCGAGGGTCTGGTCTCTTCGGGCGGGGATGGGGGGGCGGGTCTGCGGGGGGGGGGGGCGTGGAACATGAGGACCCCAGGCCTGGGCTGTTGCTAGGCGGGTGAGCTGAAGGCTCCCAGCCGTGGTTGCAGGGTGGAGGCCGAGGGGCACACCTACACTACGTTCTAGTGCTCGAGAAGTGGGGAGGTCGTCGTTTCTCGGTGTTTGTAGGAGTCACGGGGAATGTGGCCTTGCCTGCAGGCAAGCCAGCATTCCTTTTCTACTTTGGTATTTTGACCTTGGGCGAGTCATTTTATTGTGTCCTTTTGCCTCTTTTACTTGTAGTCTCCCTCCCCCTTACCTGAATACTAAGAAAAATTGAGGTAAAATGGGAAGACCTTGAGCTTGTGGAGGATACGTTAAGATCTCAGCAAGCTGTATGGAAGGCTGGAAGGAATTTGAGTAGGTGCTGAGTTCTTTCTCGGTCTAATTAGGTACTAGTCATTTTAAACCTCTTGGTGTTTTCAGTTCCTTTAAAGGTAAAATGGGAGTTGCTCTATTTGCCAGACTAGAAACAATTATGCTCTACATATTATATTGCACTCTGTGGTTTACAAAGCACTTTATGTAATCTGCAAACAACTCTTTGAGGCATCATTATAGATGGGGCCTAAAAAGTTAGTGATTTTGCTATGAAAGTATAGATTATAATAAAGTCCGATGGAAGGAAGGATGGTAGCACCTAGCGAGTGCCTGGTAGTTCCTGGCCCTGCAACTGAAGTAAATTGAGGGACATAAAATGCCGGGGGGCGGGGGGAGGGGGGCTTTGGTATGGGCTTATGAAAACCCATTTTACCAGTGAGCAGATTAAATTTGGTTAACTTACTGAACAATATTGACAGTCACTGGAGACAAAACCATGTCCTCTATCAACTTTGGCAAAGTGTTTGCCATTGTGTCTTGCCACTTCAAAAAAAAAAAAAAAAAGCATGAAAGTGGTTTTGAAATACATGGAGTTTTAGAAAATGCCAAGCCTTGTTCCTTCTGCTGTTGTTGGAGTCAATGCAAATGGAAGTTAAGGCATCTGGTAGCTTCACAGTTTCTGCTGCAAACGCTGCACTCGTCCTCATTACAAATCAGTCCACTTTCTGTTGCTTCATGCCTCCAGTTTCCCTGTTTTAAAAACAAAATCGAAAGACATTGGATGCACGATAGGACAATTTTAAATTCAGATGATTAGTTACTTAGCTGCTGTCAAATGCAACTGTTCCCTTGTCTTTTTAGAAACTTATTTTGATCTGTATCCTCTTTTAGATAACTAATTGATAATGTATGTAAATATGTCCACAGCCCCTGTGATTTTCTGGAGCAAAAGCTTGGTGTACAGGAAACAAATGGATGAAGCTATTTTGGGTTCTTTCTGATTTTCCATTTGGGTTGCCCATTTCCTTTGTACAGGCTTTTGGAGTTTGTGGTCTTTTGTGGTCTGTTCTTTACTGTGTCATTCATTATGCATGGAGTTACGTCGCCATTGTGGTTTGCCTCTTGTCTGTCTGCTTTCCTTTCTCCTGCATTGTATTTCATGGTCATGTAGCATTCATCAGTGGTCTTTGGTATCTTGATCATTGACACGTTTTATGATCTGTGAATATCTGAGCACCAGACTATTAGTGTTGGACTTAGAGCTCTAACTTCAGATTTGTTGTCATCATCTTTTCTCTGTTTATCATATCCCTCTATCCTTCCTGGGCTGACTTTGTTTGGAGACTGAATTTGGTTCTGTCTTTGCCCTTTTGGCTATAGAATCATCTTCTAGAAGCATCTCACCAAAACACCTCAAATCTTATGTCTCAACTGTCACATGCCTTTTGAGGACCAATCTCATCAAAGTACTTCCTGGAGCTTTACCTAGCATTCCACAGATAACTTTAAAGTTTTTTTAAATCTCACCTGAGGATATGGTTCTTACTGATTTTAGAGAGAGAAGGGAGAGAGTGAGAAAGATTGATCAGTTGCTTTAAGTATATGCCCCAGCTGGGATTCAAACTGGAAACCTAGGCATGTGCCCAGACTGGAAATTGAACCCATGACCTTTTGGTGCATGGGACTACACTCCAACTAACTGAGCCACACAGCCAGGGCTCCACAGATAACTTTAAAATGAAACAAACAATTATTTTCAAAACTGAAAACTTTTACCCTCCCCTCACTCCAGGAAAAAAGTGATTAAAAGGAAAACACTGTCTCTCCTTTACTTCTTAATGTGTTAATGACATTATCATTAAGTTCTAGCTGGAAATGTCAGTTACCTTTGTTCTTTCTTTTTTTTTATCTTTCTCTTCTATTCTTGTTAGAAAAGACTTGTTGATCTTCACTTTTCCCTACTCCCTATTCCTGCTGCTGCTCTCAGGTTTTTACCAACTCTTGCTTTGGTTAGTGAAGTCATATTCTGCCTTGTTGTCCTCGCAACCTTAGTGTTCACCCTACATCGAGTGTTACTGTTCTAATGGGTAAATTTGATTCTATAATACATCAACCCTGCTTAAAAGCTAGATGATTCTCTGAATTGTCTACCTAATAATGTCCAATTTCCTTAGCATTATACAGGTGTAGGCAAAAGTAGGTTTACCGTGTGAGTGTATGAAACACAGAATTTGTGCTTGTATTATTTATTAATTATTGTAGTATTTTCCGTATGAACAACTGTAGACCTACTTTTGCCCACTCCTGTTAAGGACAAGTTTTGTCCACTCCTGTTAAGGACCTTTACAGTCTGTTCCTCCAACTTCCTTTTCCAGCTTTGTCCCCCATTCGTGAACCCCTTGTTCTAATGAAACTTAACTTCCTATCACATGTTTGCTATGCTATGTCTCTGTGATTTTGAACATATTGTTGTGTTTTTTTTTTGCCATACTGAATCCTACTCATGTTTTGAGGCTGAGCACTTCATAAAGCCTTTTTCAGCTTTCCTAACTATTCACTTTTATTCACTGATTCACTGATTTTTCTACCTTCAGTGCCTAAAATGACATTTGACACCAGAGATACCAAGAGAAGAAGCATTCGCGGTGTTTATAATGAATTTTGGACATAGTGAGTACTTAAAACTGGTTGTAGAATGAATTGACAGTAGAAAAAGCCTTTCAAATATATAAAAAATCATGCTTTAGCCTATAAAAATGACTACTTTTTTGTATTTTCTTATTAAAAAAAAAATCATTCTTGCCCTGGCTAATGTGGTTCAGTGGACTGAGTGCCGCCAGCCTGCAAACCAAAGGGTCACCAGTTTGATTTCCAGTCAGGGCACATGCCTGAGTTGCAGGCCAGGTCCCCAGTAGGGGGCGTGGGAGAGGCAGCCACACAGTGATGTTTCTGTCCCTCTCTTTCTCCCTTATTTCCCTGTCTCTGAAAATAAATAAATGAAATATTTTTTAAAATCATTATTTTTCGTGAGAACCATTCACATAGAAAAGCTCTCGCCATCCTAGTTTGCAGGGTTAAGTGAATGTGTCTCTAAGAGAGGAGCAGGCATCTGCAAGATATGCAAGGACCTAAGGATGAGTGAGCCTGGAGCTTAGTTTTGGGTTTGTAGAGAAGTAGACTGTGGTACTGGGGAAGACCTGGCTTTGCATCAAGAGTGGGTACTCAGGAAGGAGCTAGCTTGGTAGTGCTTTCTGTCTGCATTTGTCTCTTTTAGAACTAAAGGGGACAAAAATATTTTGAAGTTTTTCCATTTTGAGTCTACAGTATTCCATTTTGAGTCTGAGTCCCTGTAGTTCTGTTACTCATATACTTGATTGTTATTAATTCATTGGTTATGATCTTGCACAATAATTTTTAAAAAGTGACAAACCTACGGATTTTAGAAGCTGCGTTAAATCTTTCTGGACATGGAAGGGAGGATGTTATAGCTGGAAGAACACTGGACTCAGGGAGTCAAAAGAGCTATGTTCTATCACCTACAAGTTGTGTGTTGACTTCAAGCACGCCTTCTCTGTGACCCAGTTTAATCATGGCATAATTGTAAGATTGTGTGAAGATCGAATGAGAGTATGTGAAAGAACTTTAAAAGCTAAGAAGCATTTAGGAACTGAAAGATACTTCAGGGTTTTGAAGACAAGCTAAACTTCTTTAGAGGGAGGTGCTTTAGTTGTGCAGGTGTTCATGTATTTTACAGTTATTTATGGAGGAATATGCAGTTGGTGCTGGGGCCGCATGAGTTTCTCTTTCTTTCCTCCCACCAGACCATAGACCTTTGAGGCCAGGCCTGGAAGGCATATCAGTACACACTTAGACAAACAGTTGTTAATAATACAATAATACAATAATAAAATATACCCTAGTAATAATTATTTGTATATGACATATATTAAACACATAGTTATACAAATAATTATGACAGATCTCAGAGACATATGGGGTAGTTTTATTACAGCAGAGTGCTTCCTGGCTGGAAGGAACATTTTCTCCTCTACTAGAGTTGAGGAATCACACCATTAACTGAGTTTAAATTGTGCTCTTATGTCTCACAGGTGGCATCGTGGCCTGTGAAGTACTTGAATCCTGGTAATAATGAGCTACATTGCAGTACCCTTCTGACATCTCCATAGGAAACGCAAGAGGGGAAGTATCTACTTGTTGATCTTTACGGAGTCCCTCAGAGAAAAGTGAGAGACTTGTGGGGCACTAACAAGACGAGGTTAGGGACTCAGTAAGTTTCCTAGATTAGCAAAACTGCCCTCAATGGTTCTGGTTAAGGGGAATCTCTAATCAGGTACCTTGTACTAGAATTGCCTCGATTTAAAAAAAATAATAATCTTTTCCTCCAGAAATTGTAGGTATTTATTATCTTCATCTTGTCCATTTAGGGTTGTAACCTATAAATTTTAGAGGACTGTTTGGTATAATTATGATTAGTAAAGTTAGGAGAAGAAAGGAAATTATTTGGTATCAATTTCAAATGATCCTGGAATAATTAAGGTAAGCCTGGCTATAGTAACAGATGCAAACATATAGGACCCTCACAATCAGAGTTCAGTACTCAATCTCATAACAGTCTCAGGTATGTCCAGATTGCTGGTGGGGAGAGAGAGAAAGTGTGGGTTGTACAGGTGGCGTGTCACTCTGTAGGTTATAATCTGAGGACCCAGGCTGCTGGAGACTCTTTCTTTTTGAATGTGTGTCTTCTAAGGATGCCCTGGGGAATTTGCTTCCCCATTCACTAGAATAGGAGCAGAGAATGGAGGAACAAGCGTGACAGATTTCTATGGGCCAGCCCTGGAAGAGGGATACATCCCTTTATTCACTTTCCCTTAACTGGACTAGAGCTCAGTTAAGACAACATCTTTGGCTAGCAGAAGTGTAGACTAGCTGTGTGCTAAGGAAGAAGAGGAACTATAGTCTTTTTCCATAAAAAAACGGTAGCCACAAAACCCAAAGCAGTCTATTTTACTTTCAGCAACTTGTTTTGTAAATTGTTTTATAATAAAAAGATTAAAAAATGGAGCCAGGCAGGTTAAAGCAGAATTGAGGAATCAGCCACATACTGCTCATTGAACAAATATTCGAGTATCTGTTATTTGCAAAGTATCGTGTGAAATGCCATAAGGAATAAAGTGATGAGACATGTTCCCTGTCTTTTAAGGGCTTAGGGAGCCCTTAAAAGGGGTCCAAGGGAGACTGATCAGAGTCTAATCTCATCAGTGGGCCCGACTGGTGGAGGATGGGGTGGGGGCCCGGAAGTAGGGTGAGGATGGGATGATCATCATCGTGGTGAACAAGAGATTGATGATGGATAAAGGGCCGAACTCTAGGTAATCACCAGTTTGAAGTCTTATAGCAACAACCTGGGACCAGCTGTCCGAGCTGGGGGCTTTAGAAAGGGGGCCATGGGAGAGATGTCATCCTGTAAGAAAACCATTGCAGAAAAAGTGCGGGAAGGGGAAATTGTGTTTGACAAAGTGATTTTCATATGGTCTCAGTTTTTTAATTTTTTTGTCATAACACCTGAGGGTTATGACACATTTCTGTTAGTTACTCTGATAGAGTCTCCCGTAGGGGTTCAAACACTCACTGAGGTTTGGAAGAGACCCAGTTGAGCATCTTTGGGGCCTTATAGATTTTGGAAAGTCCACAAGTGACTCTGACCCTCTATACCTTTCTTACTGGTGCACATTTATCATGGAGCCCTCTTTGACTTTGCTTCTTGAAGAATCTTGAGCAGCTTCTAACAATAAGTGTCCTTTCAGAGAGGTGCAAAGTGCACTTGCTGTGTAGCAGAGGGGAGGGAGAAGTACCATGGGCTTTGGGGGACTCAGGAGGGGAGAGGTAGCATTTGAGCATCTTTATTTTGATAAAGTTATATTTGCACTGCTGGTTTAAAAGCATATTAAAAATAGAAGGGTGGTTAGAATTTTACTGTAGTTTTAAAAATAATGTTGCAAGAATATTAATGCCATTAAACCTCATGCACCTTCTAGAAAACACTCAGAATGGTGTGGTGTGGTTGATACGTAATTCTGACATTTCAGCTGATTGGTTTTGTCAGCTTCAACGTGGGTGTCACAAAGCACTTTCATCTATATTGTCTCATATAACTATTCTGTGAATTCAGTGTGGCAGGTTATTATAATCCTCCTTTTTAATAATAAGGAACTCAGGGCTTTTAGTGATTAATACACCTACCAAGTGGAGGAGGTCTTCTGACTCCAAATCTGAATATACCATGCACCTTTTAGTGAAATGATTTGTTTAACATAGGGCTCTTGATTTCCAGTTCAGTGAATCACAGCACCTCCTATCTTGGAGATCTGAGAGGCAGGTAAAACGCAGTTCAATTTTTCTGAATGCAATCTAGCTAAAGTCAGACAAGTAATTTTGGTCATATAAATACAAAGAAAGTGTTAGCTTCGCATCCCAGGTAAGTAGTCATGGCTTAGGCGATGCCATTCCAAATGGACAATATAGATGGCCATATTTAGTACCAGAAGTCAGATTGCTCTGTCTAGGTGCCCTTCCCCTGATTTGTTAACCTCATATCCTTCCATGGTGGCTTCTTGCCAGAACATATTAGGATATACAAGAACTCTGGAAGCAGAACTCTGTGTTCTTCCATTCATTCCCCTTACCACTTTTCTTTGGCTCCTGTGCCTTTGTTAAATTTCAAACATTTAATCTTTTCAACAAGCATTTAAGATTCAGACATATTTTGCGAAATACATCCTTAAATAAAAGTCTACCTTTGTCCATATTACCTACTTTTCCGGAATAGTTTCTTTGGGGCACTTTTTAAATTATTTATTTATTTATTTATAGGGAGATGGGAAAGGAGGGAGAAAGACAGGGAGAAAAGCATCAATGTGAGAGAAAAACATTGATTGATTGCCTCTTGTAGGTGTGTTGACTAGGGACTGAGCGAACCAGCTGGCAACCTAGGAACATGTCCTGACTAGGGATTGAACTGGAGACTTGTTTTGAGAGATGATGTCCAAGCAACTGAGCTCCACTGATCAGAGCTCCTTGGGTATTTTTTATGTACTCGTGTCTGTCTGGTGTGCTACATTTAAGGGTTCCCCCATGTGGTCTGCCCTTGCCAACTTCTAAATGAACATAGTTCTACAGCAAATTTCTAGTGATCTAAGGCTTAGGTTCCTCTGCCACCCAACCTTACCATTCTGACTTTTCTGTCTTCTTGTCCTCCTTTATTCTTTCAGTATTTGTTGAACATGTACTGTGTGTCTGGCATCATGCTACATGCAGAGGGAACAAGGACGGAAAACATGGAATACTTTCTACCTTGTTGGAGCATGCTTTGACTCTTAGACATGTTATTAAAACATCACTATCTTGTCGATGGTTATTTTCAGTGCTTCTGTGTTTTTAATATGGCATCATTATTATAGTTAGCTGGCTGGAGAAAGATGGGATAAAGCCATTCTTACAGACTTTACAGAAAATGTTCCAAGGTGCATTATGTATGTATGTGTGCCTGTTCCATACAAACCCACTGACAGCTTCCGTCTTGTATCATTCCAAAAATTGAATTTAGAGGTATGTTTAGAGGTATGGGTGGGTGACTAAAGATTTGAGACAGAATTCTAGGTACAGTTGCTAGAATGTGTTGCTAAGGGAGAATATGAGATTTTCTCCTTTGAGATCCTCACAGGTAGATTTAATCATCTTGGAGACTTGCTTCTATCCAATGCTGAGATCCTCTAGATGCTAAGAGCCTGACAGTGTGGTCTTCTCTAGTAATTTACAGTGTTTTATTAGTCACTGCATTCTAGTCCTGAGACTTGGAGAAGCTGGTATATACTCTATAGGGGATGATTAATGAGTTTATTTTTGAAAAGCCATAACCCACTCTTAAATATTTATGGTTATTATGGGAACATAAACATCTGGCTAAAGTCAAGGAAAAGATGCTAGATCTTTATCATCAGTGATAACTTCTTTCTGAGAGAGTATTTTATGATCTGGGCTTGCAGAAAGTATAATAAGTCTTTTAGGATCTTATTTTAGAATTCTTTCTTAAATTTTGAGGAAGAAATGCTAACAAACTACAAAATGACTAAAAGTTGATGGGAATATAAGCAAAAAGAAAAGAGCTGTCTGGGGTGGTCCTCAGTCACTGTATTCCTTGAAAATGAAGGACAATTCGCTGGCCTGCTTGTAAAATTGGTGGTAACTAACAGGTGTCCTATTTCTTGTACCTTTTTGTACAAAACAGTGAGACGGTTTAAGCGGAAGCATCTTACAGCCATCGACTGCCAACATTTGGCTCGGAGTCACTTGGCTGTGACCCAGCCCCTTTGCCAACGATGGACAAACAGAGACCCAAACCATGGTCTCTATCCTAGACCCAGAACAAAAAGCGGGACTAGAGGTATGTCTTTCAGATTCTGAAATGTGAAACATTTCAGAATCTGTAGTGTGTGTAGCCTTTGAATATCTCCCAAGTATTTGTAAATACTACTGCTGTGATTTTGTCATCCTGTTGCAATAGTTAGACATTTTTAAAAAAAAATTACTTGTGAGTTTTCCATGAAAATCCCATCCTATTATAGTAGTTGTTAAAGGCCTTAGGAAAATGTGAGTGAATGAACTTCTTAGCTTGCTTAATTATACTGTGGTAGGAAAACACGTACCAGTATCACCACCATTCCAATCTAGAACCATTATAATTTCTTGACTCTGCAGTAATTCTCTTTGTCCAATTGTCACTGGGTCCACTGTGTCATTATTTTTCTTCAAAATGTTCCCTCATTCAGTGATTTCATGGTAGACCATGCCCTTGCTCACCTCAGACCTGGACTGCTGCAGTGACATTTCTCCTTGTCTTTAGATTTGGCTTTTTTCAAATCAGCTGGAACGTACATCAAGTGAATATTTGGAGTACCATTTCCTGTCATGTCACTGCCTCTCTGAACACCCACAGTGAAAGGTCTCGCCGTTACCATTATGGACTCAAGTGCAAATTTGCCACCACCTGATATGTTTTATCGATTACATACAAGTTCTATTTCTGACACTTTGGTTTTCTTATTACCTCTCTATGTACCAAATGAATTCCTACTTTCACTCATATCTATTAGTATGATCCAGATTATCTTAGTTCCCCTTAATATATCTAATTTCAGAATCTAACTCAAATTTTACCTAATTTTCTTTAAATATTGTGATATGTGTTTATCACATTTAGGAACTGCCATAACAAGTGTATGAGGCAGTTTTAAGCTAAATGGTCATATTTTGTTTGCTTTGTGTATACAGGTCCACTTCTCTGCTGTGAGTTCTTTACCAACAAAACTCTGTCAGCATGCGTATGTTTCAGTGTGGAGTCCTAGCACTGAGAATGCAGTAGGCTCTTAATAGATACTGCTCTGATTGAATTCCACAATTAGAACAATAAAAAAATGTAAAAGATTTTATTTCTTTATTTTCAGAGAGAGGGGAGTGATGGAGAAAAAGAGGGAGAGAAACATCAATGTGTGATCAGTTGCCTGTTGCCAGCCAGGGGGCCTGGCTCACAACCCAGGCATGTTCCCTGACTGGGAATCAAACCGGTGGCCTTTTGGTTTGCAGTACAGTGTCCAGTACACTGAGCTACACCAGTTAGGGCAGAAAATGTCAAGATTTAACCCAGGCCTGTTGACTTCAGAACTCTGGGTTTTTATCAAATTGCCCCAGAAAATTGTAGGTTTTCTTTTCCTAACCTAGGAAAAAAACGTTAAATTCTATTAAAGGCCAAACTTAGTTTTGCTCTGCTCTCTCATTTTCCAAAGTGAGAATTCTGGCTATAGTCATTTTGGAAAGGAACTACATAGTTTGTTGTATGTGATTAGGCGTTTAAATACTTCATTGGCATTTTACAATAATTTATAGGAATTTAAAATGCAGTGGTAATCTGTAAAATCACCATTTGATTTCCCTTAGTGCTTGAAAGCCTGTGAGGTCAGGGACTATAAATATACCACTTTTCACCTTATTTTCGTCTTAGAATCATAGGTGCGTATGAATAGAAGTGTGGAGGAGATTAGGTAGCACTCTAACAATGTGAAGAGAATTCTGACTTCTTCCTTTTTATTTCAAAATAAATTAATGTGTCAGCTTCACAGGAGGACATGAAAATAAATGGGTTTTAACTCTGTCACCGGAGAGAGTGGGTTTTACTGAATCCTGATAGCAAAGTATTCTTCTTTCTACTTAAGCAAACTTAGATTTTTTAATTATAATAGCAAGCCAAGCGGCATAAATTTTTATAGGTGGATATATGAATGAGTGTGAGCATTCATTTGGTTTTTGCCTGTCCATTCATGTATTCAGTTCACATGTGTTACAAGGTGTAATGTCCTCACACCATCTGAAGACAGTTGTCTGTCTCACTCTATATGTGTGTTTGACTATATGATAAAGCCAAATAGAACTTTTTATTAATCCTGTTATATAGTCAATTAGCCAATAACTCTGTATTTGTCTCTTAATTGGAAATTGTATCAATTGGGTCAATAATGGTCAGCAGTCATTATTTATTTCTCATTATCCTATTTTGGGTTCTCTGTACAGGTCCAGGATCTCAAAGATACATCACTGAATTCCTCCTAGCCAGCCAGAAGCGATGCACCAATGACATGGCTAAAAGCAACTCTGTGGACCAGGACCACTCACAGGACTCAGAGGGTGAAATGATATTTTCTGCAGAAAACAATTGTGCCCTGCCTCGGGAAGGTGATGGAGAAGCAAGAATGGGCTCATCAGGTTCTGCTCTGCCTGCAAGGAAGCGCTCTCGGTCCCTTGAAGATGAGAGGAATCAAACTATAGGGACCAGTCAGTGGGGCGGGGTTTCTAAGAAAACCCTACGGCATCGATTTTCCCTGTCGCATTCAAAGGCCAGGAAAGCCAGGCAAGAAGTAGACGGCTCTTTGTCATGGCCCTCTGCAGAATCCGAAGAAACCAGCCAAGAAATAGAGGACATGGGTCCTGATCCCATCCCTGACTCTTACTATGGGCTTCTAGGGACCTTACCCTGCCAGGAACCGCAGAACCACATCTGTAGCTTGCCCAGTGAAGTCCTAAGGCACATTTTTTCTTTCCTCCCTGTTGAAGATCTCTATTGGAATCTCTGCTTGGTGTGCCACCTCTGGAGGGAGATAATTAGTGATCCACTGGTATGTAAAGCACTTAGAGTTCTTTCATGTTTTCTCTAAAAATACGTAGACTAGCTTCTTTTAGTATATACTTCTGATTATAGTGTTTAGTTTCCATTTGCCTCCAAATAAAATCCCAATTCCCTGGAGGCATGTAAGGCTTTCCACGATTGTCCCACCTTATTATCTCAGCCTCTTTATTACTTTTTCTCAACACATCCCTGTGTTTTGCCCACAACAAATGATTTGTTGCATCCCAACCAAAGACTGCGTATTGCTTTCCACATGTTGATCTAACACCCTGACCCATACACCAATGTAAGGAGTCCCTCATATCCATTGACATCTTACGTCTTCTTCAAGGCTTCATTCCGTTCCTTCCCATTTCACTCTCTCTTCCTTGTGCTACTGTAGCAATTTTTACCTGTTACAAAATTACCACATTCTGTATTCCACTTTAGAGAGCCTTCCTCCCCCCTTTAAATTATTAGCTCATCAATAGAAGGCGATTTGTCCTATAAATGTTTTCTGCATTCTCCATTGTGTCTCATGACATTTTACTTACAGGTGAATTATAAATGAATGTTATGTCATAGGGTTCTCTTAATAATCCTTTTTAGTTCTCTGACCACAGTTGTAATGTCCACTTTCTGATTTCAGTTATTAAAATCTTTTTTTCTTTATCTACTGAAGGATTGTCAACTTTGTTGATCTTTTAAAAAAAACAACTCTTAGTTTTATTGATTTTTAATATTTCTTCTATCCCTGTTTTATTTATCTCTGCTTTACTCTTTATTATTTCCTTCTGTCTGCTAGCATTGGGTTTAGATTACTCCTCTTTTTCTGGAACTATTTTTCTAGTTCCTTTGGGTATAAAAGTTAGGTTGTTGATTTGTAACCTTTCTCCTTTTTTTCTTTGATTGTCAATGTTAATTTATTTTAAATTTTTTAGTTAAAATTTATTGCAGTGACAATGATAATAAAATCACATAGGTTTCAAGTGTACAATTCTGTGATACATCATCTGTACATTGCATTGTGTGCCCACCACCCAAAGTCAGATTTTCTTTTGTCACCATATATTTGAACGTTCTTTTTAATGTAAGTTGTAACAGCTATAACTTCTTTCTTAACACTGCTTTCATTTCATCCCATAAGTTTTGGTATGCTGTGTTTTTGTTTTTGTTTTCTTTCATTTGTCTCAAGGTATTTTCTAATTTCTTTGTGATTTCTTTTTTGACCCATTGATTATTTTAAGAGTGTGTTGTTTCATTTTCACGTATTTATGGGGTTTTAGGTTTTCTTTCTGCTACTGATTTTCAGTTTCATTCCACAGGGATTTAAAAAGATTCTTTCCATAATTTCAAGCCTTTAAAATTTGCTAAGACCTGCTTTGTGGCCTAGCATGTGATCTGTTTTGTAAATTGTTCCATGTGCACTTGAGAAGATGTGTATTCTGCTGTTGTTGGGTGGAGTGTTCTATATAAGTCTGTTTGGTTCAATTGACTTACTGTTGTTCCAGTTCTTTGTTTCCTAATTGCTTCTCTGACTGATTGTTCTGTCCATTCTCGAGAGTGGAGTATTGAAGTCTCCATTGCTGTTATGTTGCTGCTTGTTTCTCCCTTCAGTTCTGTCAGCGTTTGCTTCTGGGATTTAGGAACTCTGTTGTGGGTACATATGTATTTATAATTGTTCTATCTTCTTGGTGAATTCACCCTCTTATCATTATATAATCTCCTTCTTTGTCTCATAATAATTTCTGACTTAGTTTTTTTGTCTGGTATTAGTATAGCCATAGTTTTCCTATAATTTAATCCTTGTTGAAACTTTGAGCCTTTGTGTCCTGGTATCTCAACAGGGAAATTGAAGCACTAGCTTTTGCCAGATTCTATCCCAAGTTAGTGTTCAAATCCAAACCAAGACGTGGTTCTCCTAGTTTCCCACCAAAATCTGTGTACTGTTTGTACCACATTTGCTCAGCTTTTAAATTGTGAGCTGTAATTGCTTTTTTAAAAAAATTCTAACCTCTGGACATGTTTAGAGGAGGAGAGAGGGAAACATCAATGTGAGAAACATTGATCAGTTGCCTTGCATGTGTGCCCCAACCTAGGACTGAACCCACAGCCTAGGCATGTGCCCTGACTGGGAATCAAACCTACCACCTTTCGGTTTATGGAATGATGCTCCAACTGAACCACACTGGCCAGGACTGTAATTACTTTTTAATTGGTAGATTATCTATATGTTTGTGGTCTAATCTGCTAATAGTCGTTTCCTGCGTGTTATTTTGGATTTTTCAACTGTATAGTTCATTCCTTGGAAAAAGTTGTATCATCGATACCTGATGAATGAAGAACAAGCTGTCAGCAAAGTAGATGGCATCCTGTTGAACTGTGGTATCGAGAAAGAATCAGACCTCTCTGTGCTGAACCTCATTCGGTGAGTTGCTCTTCTGCAAGGAGGACAACTTCTGAAGTCCTTTCCCATTTATTATTACTCATGACCATCTTTCCCATGGACTTCTCTGTGAATGTCTTACAGCTATACAGCCACCACTAAATGCTCCCCGAGTGTGGATCCTGGCAGGGCACTGTGGAGTCTGAGGGATCATCTCCTCCTTCCTGAGGCAGAGGCGTGCGTGCGTCAATACCTCCCTGACCTTTACGTTGCTGCTGCGGTATGTGAGGAGGCTGTGGGGAATTACTGGGGAGGTGACACATTTTTCTCATTACTCAGTGTATTGGTGATTGAGTTTGGCTGAAGGTTGTTTTAGATTTATTTTTAAAATCTTTCTCTTATCTCCATTTTGAGGCCTTAATCTTGTCATTGGTCCCATTAGAGAAGTAAAGGGCCACATTGTAGATGCTTATATTTGGAAGAAATTTTTAAAAGCAGTCAGTCCAATGCCCTATGCTATTGAGAAATCCTCAACAGAGGATGGTCATCAAACCTCTGAACACTTTGATTAGTAAAGATTTCTTTATAGGGCAGCCCATTCCATTGTCAACAATGTAGGTTGTGTGAGGACCTGAGAAATTCAGAGTCTTGCTATAGATGCACATGAGTTGATGAGAAGGTAGAAATAGTCCTCAATTTTCTGACTTGTGGTTCCTCATTTAGATCATGGATTTTCAAATTTTATTTTAGAAGCTAAATGTAACCCCAGCCTGCAACCAATATACTGAGAATTTCATTCATGTGCATTTTTCCTTCTATCTTCAGTGATTATTGATGATGGTGAAGTGAATTTTCTTTCACAGGATGATTGTCATGAGAGGTGCATGGAATGTATCTTTTTTGGAATACATTTTTATTTTTTATTTTATTTTAGTTTTTATTGTTTATTCTATTATAGTTGTCTTAATTTTTTCCCTTTTGCCCTTTCCACCCAGCCCACCCCCTCAGCCCACAGTCAATCCCCTCTCCATTATCCGTGTTCATGTGTCTTTCATACGTGTTCTTTGCCTAGTCCCTTCTCCTTCCTTCCACCATTCCCTTGCCTCTCCTTCTACAGCCATCATATTTCCATGTGCCTCATTCTATTTTCCTCATTAGTTAATTTTGTTAATTAGATTCCAGTTATAAGTGAGGTCATATGGTATTTCTCTTTCACTGCCAGGCTTATTTTACTTAGCATAATGTTCTCCAGGTCCGTCCATGCTGTTGCAAAAGGTAGGGCTTCCTTTTTTCTTTCTGTTGCATAGTATTCCATTGTGTAAATGTACCAGTTTTTTAATCTGCTCATCTACTGATGGGCACTTAGGTTGTTTCTAACACTTGGCTATTGTAAATAGCACTGCTATGAACAGAGGGGTGCATAAGTTCTTTTGAAATGATGTTTCAGAATTCTTAGGATATATTCCCAGCAGTGGAACCTCTGAGTCATAAGGCAGTTCCATTTTTAATTTTTTGAGGAAATTCCATACTGTTTTCCACAGTGGTGGCACCAGTCTGCATTCCTACCAACCGGGCCCTAGGGTTCCCTGTTCTCCACATCCTTGCCAGCACTTACTGTTGATTCATTAGTGATAGCCATTCTAACAGGTAGCAGTATCTCATTGTGGTTTTAATTTACATTTCTCTGATGGCTAGTGATGTTAAGCATCTTTTCTTATGTCTGTGGACCATCTGTATGTTCTCCTTGGAGAAGTGTCTATTCAGGTTCTTTGCCCATATTTTAAGTGGGTTATTTGTCTTTCTGGTGTTGGGCTGTATGCATTCTTCATATATTTTGGAGATTAAATCGGAATGCATTTTTAAATAGGAAGATTTATAAAGTTAAGATTGATAAAGATCTATGCCCATTATTGACTATTTCCACATCAGTGAATGTTTTCTTAGACATTACTAAGTGGAGCATATTGTGTTTGTAATAATGAATTTACAATAATTTATTTTTTATTTAATGTAATATTTAATAACTATTAAATAACAACAAAGTAAATAGTAAATTAATATTCTAATACCATCAAACTGTCAGTGTTGATTTTACCCCTACAGTCTACTGTCTTCTTTTGTATCTGTCATCTTTCGTGCCTCGCAGGCAGACACCCATTTAATAGTGATCCTGTTGTGATGCTGTTGAGTGTGTGTAGACCTGAGAGCTCATACCGACCTGGAGAGGAGGAGCGGGGAGATGAGAGCATCATCTCTCACAAAGTTCCATGTTAAATAGTTTATAAATGTTATTAAATTACACTAAGTACTTAAATCCAGAAGTGATTAGAAGAAAGGAATCCAGGGCAAAAGAAAGGGTTCCCATTGTTTCCCTCATATCATTTGGGAAGTTTGCACTCTGTTCAGGCAGTATGTACTTGGCATCTGAACCCCAAACCTGGGTTTCCTCACTGATTGTCTGATGTGATATTTATTAATTGTGACCTGTATTTTTGGGTCTTTTCTTCCCTTCCTGCTTCATCTCCCTCCAGGGTGTCAACGTGTGGGCTCTGGTAGCAGCCATTGTTCTCCTCTCCAACAGTGTAAATGACATCCAGCAGCTACTCTTCTGCCTCAGAAGACCTAGCTCCACTGTGACAATGCCAGACATCACTGAGACCTTATACTGCATTGCTGTGCTTCTCTATGCCATGAGGGAGAAGGGAATTAACATCAGCAATCGGTAAAGTATTGGCAGGGAGGGTGGAGACTCTGACAGAGTGAAGGTCCTAGACTTGTGACAAGTCCCAGCTCTTCCACTTTAACACTGGGAAAGCCATAAAACTCACACTGCTCAATTTCTTTATCTGTAAAATAAAGGAATTGTGAGATTTAAGTGGAGTGGTGTAGGTAACATTGCTCTGCAAATGTAAATGGTAAAAAGAATCACTGAGGCAGTTACGTGCAAGGGTATCAAAGCTCCAAGTGACGTCTCCTCACTAAAAGACTCCTTCTTTAGTCGTCTGTGGCTACATTTTCCTAGGAAAATGTTAGGATTTGGTTCCCCCATTTCTCGCTTTTTTGGGGATAGGATATAAAAATTGTGGTTGAATCCTATTTATCTGTTTATCATCTTAGTGTGAGAAAGGCTATAGCTAATGGGTTGCTAATTCTGACTGACCATCATGGTTTCACTCACTAGCAGATATGCCCAGGTTGGTTTTGAAGGGATGTGTACATTCAGCAGAATTTTGAGCACCTACTACATGTCAAATAGATTTCCAGGCACTAGCAATGCCTTTCATGTAGACTGTATGTTCTAGTGAGGGGAGACATGCTGCATAAGTAAATAATTTAAACAAGATCATTATAATGAGTGATTAGTGGTGCAAAGGAAAGAACAGGTGATGGTCAAGGGCAATGAGAAGCACTACTTTAGACTGAGTAAGAAAAGCTTCTCTGAGGAGGTAACATCTGCATTGAAACCCGAATGTCAGGAGGAGCTGCCCACTTGAAGATTTGTGGGGAGAGCATTTTAGCGGAAGGCATAGATACTTTCAGGGCCCAAAGATGGGAATAAATTTAGTATATACAAAACAGAAGTCTAGTGACAAGAATGTAGTTAGTAAGATGGAGACTGGTATATGATTATTTGAGGTCTACAGTGACCAGATGAAGGAAGTTGTAGGCTGTATTAGCAGTTAGGAATCCAAGGTATGAAGGGCAAATTCTAGGAGGCCCTGACCCCTGGCGTGGAGACAGGCAGTGTGACAATGCAGCAGCTCCTGGAGAAATAGGCATTACAGAGAGGATTTCCAGATTTCCTGTTCTGGAGTTAGTTAGCCTTAGGAGGAGCTTCTGGAGGCACCAGGTGAGCTGTGGCTCAGCCATTCATGGTGAAACTTAAGTGTGGAACATTTATTCTCCAGAAAAGAGTATTTGTTGTGTTTCTGAGTTATATTTCAATTTATTAAATATAGTTTATGTTGTACTCCACTCCCTGGCATTGAGATGTGAGACAGGGAGCTTTATGACGTAATTAGGACTAGACAAATACAAAAATGATGAATAATGACCCTAAGTACAAATAGGAACCTATAAACAATCTGCATGTTTACATGGACATAGATGAGGAATGGGACATATGATATGTTATGTTTATATATTTTTTCCTGCTTTACCTGGGAGATCATTTTTTTTTCACTTGTGGCAAGGATTACTATCAGACTCCAGTCGTTGGGCCAGAGCCCCTTGCGGTGTTGGTGACAACCTGCCCCTCATGTAACACACTGCCTCCACTCATGAGTTCCTCGGCCACCAGCGGCCTTGACTCTGAGCTCTAACAACGTGCAGTCCCGAGAAATAATCTTAGTGTGACCAGAGACTGAAATGTTGTACTATTAAAAATATTTGTTTCATTGAAAAGATTGATGTGTGGAAATCATCTCTTCTCTCTCTGAGAATGGGGAGCAATGCTCTAAATTGTGGGTAAAGGGTGATAGAAGGATATGAGTTTGGGTTCATGTGAACACAGAGAGGTTTGGAGCGGCTTGTGATGAGACGTGTTTAACCATGTCTAGTGCCTCTGTTGAGTGCACTGTGTCATCTTTGTTCTCTCTTGGTGACTTGCAGACTGTCTTGTTTTCTAGTTCTTGGTAATCTTATCTTTAAAAATATTTGTTGGGGTGACAACATTTAATAGGGTCATATAGGTTACAAATGTACATTTCTATGATACATTATTTGTATATTGCATTGTGTGCCCACCACCCAAAGTGATACCATCTTCTGTCACCATGTATTTGACCCCCTTCCCTTTACTACTCCTGACCCCTTCCTTCTGGTAACCACCATAGTGTTGTCTGTGCCTGTGAGTTTCAGTTTTATATCCCACATATGATTGAAATTATATGGTTCTTAGCTTTTTCTGGCTGACTTATTTTGCTTAGCGTAATATTCTCGGGGTCCATCCATGTTGTCGCAAATGGCAGTATTTCATCTTTTCTTATGGCTGAGCACTATTGCATTGTAATATATGTACCACATCTTCTTTATCCAGTCCTCTATCTAAGGACACTTGGGTTATCTCCATATCTTGGCCACTGGGAATAATGCTGCAGTGAACTTAAGGGTGCATATATATCTTTGCAAATAAATGATTTTGAGTTTTCAGATAGATACCCAGAAGAGGGGCTGCTGGGTCATAGATAACTCTATTCCTAATTTTTTGAGGGGCCTCCATACTGTTTTCCATGGTGGCCATATCTGTTTCCATTCCCACTAGCAGTGAACAAGGGTTCCTTTTCCTCACAGCTTCTCCAACACTTGTTATTACTTGTCTTGTTGATAACAGCCATTCTAACAGGAATGAGGTGTTATCTCATTGTAGTTTTGAGTTCCATTTCCCTATTAGCCAGTGAAGTTGGAAATCTTTTCATATATCTGATAGCTGCTTCTGTGTCTTCTTGGGAGAAGTGTATGTTCAGGTCCTCTGCCCATTTTTTTAAATGAATTGTTTGTTGGATATTGAGTTGTATGAGTTCTTCATATATTTTGGATGGTAATCATGTCTTGTTACCCATGTAGGAAATGTCCCTTGGAACCTTAAAAGATAGAATGTTCTTCATGCTTCAAAGCAATATTACCTCACGAGACTCAGGGAGCAGAGCAGCAGTGGAGGCTCAGAAAGATAAGATGACATTATGTTGATGCTGAACAAGAATCTCACCACTAGGAGCAGAAAATACATTTTTTTCAACTGGTTCATACTGCTCTTGTAATTATTTGTTTCTTATGATCACAGCTAATGCCTTGTTTCCCCAAAGGGCATGCCCTGGTCTCTCTCCTTTTGCCATTGCACCTGGAGCCAGGTGTCTTTCCCAAAACTGTGCTCTCCGAGAGGGCTTTGGTGCACTCTAGGTATACTTAAATTCTTTCCTTTTTTTCATAAAATGCTGGTAGAGTTTTATTGGTTTTTGTGTTTTAAAGAAATAGTAAAGAGTCTAAATATATCCTAGAAAAAGTAAGATACAGATTGAGACTTAATTTGATAATCCCTAAATCTGCTTTTTCCCTGTTAGGATTCACTACAACATTTTCTATTGCCTGTATGTTCAGGAGAATTCCGGTACTCAGGCCACAACAGTTCAAGAGGAAACATCAGTTTGGCCAGGGTATGTGCATAGATAAGTAAGTGTGTGTGTGTTGTCTTCCATTCTTGACTCTAATATTTAAGGAGGAGAGGTGTTTCAACAACTTTATTGAGGTATAATTTACATTATGTAAGATTTACCATTGTAATTGTATAATTCAAAGATTTTGATTAATTTTACTAAGTGTGCAGTCTATCATATTCTAGTTTTAGACCATTTTTATCACACTAAAGGGAGGTCTTATTTTTGGTTAAATTTTGTTCATCTGATTTACCTGTTTGCTTTTTGAAAGTCCATTTCCTGGTCTTTTCGATTCCTTTGTATTTTTCTAATTTTTCTTCTGTAATGATTACAGGAAGAGAACAACCATCCAACTTACACATGAACAGCAGCTGATTCTGAACCATAAGATGGAACCTCTCCAGGTGGTAAAAATTATGGCATTTGCAGGTAAGGGCACTTGCCAGTATTGGAATAGAGGGTCAGGGTCATGACTCATATCACTACATCCCCCTTCCCTGTTACCTTCCAGAGTATCTTTACTTCTATCTGTTGTTAAACTACTGCAATGAAATAATCATAAAAGCAGTTGCCAAGTAAATCTTGCTTTTTCTTACAACTCCAGGGAGCATCCACACTGGAGTTCCCTGTGGGACCAACAGTTCATAGGAGTTAGTTTGCTGAGTAGTTACCAAAGAGGTTGATCCAGCCTGTCATTTATCATTATATGTGCTCAGTCACTGATTGCTTATGGACTGGTGGGTCATATTAATCTCTTCTCAGAGAGTTCTAGTAGCTCCTGATTTCTACTGGGTGAAGTCTAGAAGGCCTTTTCACCATTTGTTTCTAAGCTATGTTCCTAAATATATTGTGTGCTGTTCCCCTGCTTCAGTCAGCTCGTTGTCCTCACAGTCTCCTAAAGTGCTTGATTATTCTTTTGTCTGAACCTTTGCTCATTCTATTTTCTCTATCCGGAATTCCTTCTCTCTTTTTTCTACCTATGTATCCTAGTAAAAACAACAACAGCCATTTCTTAAATGCCTGCCACTGCCTGAGAGAAAATAAAATGACTTGCCCCAGGCCTTGGCTTGTGTAGCTTAGTTGGTTGGGTGTCATTCCATAAACCAAAAGGTTGCAGGTTCAGTTCCTGGTGAGGGCACATGCATGGATGCAGGTTTGGTCCTTGGGCAGGCACATGTGGGAGGCAGCCATCTGTGTTTCTCTTTCACATCAGTGTTTCTCTCCTCTTTCTCCCTCCCTTCCTTCTCTCTAAAATCAATAAGCATGTTCTGTGGTGAGGATCAAAAAAAGAAAAATGACTTGCCCCAGATTAAATAACACAGTAAAGTGAAAAAGAACATGAATTTAGAAACAAAAAATTCTCACCAAAGAAGAAAAATAGTACCTTTTTTTCAGCCTTACAGGATTGTTTTGAATATGAATGACATAGAGTGGAAATATTTATAAAATGTGCATGTTGGCTATTCTGCCCTGGCTAGCATGGCTCAGTGGATTGAGTGCAGGCCTGCAAACCAAAGGGTTGCTGGTTCCATTCCCAGTCATGGCACATGCCTGGGTTGCAGGCTGAGTCCCCAGTTGGGGGTGTACAAGAGGCAACCACACATTGATGTTTTCCACCCTCTCTTTCTCCCTTTTCTTCTCTCTAAAAATAAATAAAATATATTTTTAAAATGTGCGTGTTGGCTATTTTTACTGTATGGTTATATAGTAACAATATATAATTCTTATATAAGAATATAATTCTCACTATATAGTCACGTAGTGAGAATCATATAGTACATTATATAGTGTATACTATATGAATTAAAACTCAAAGCTGGATTCAAAGTAGGATTCAAATTACAATTCAAAGCTGGGTTTGTTCTTTTCCAAAAGCCTGCCTTTCCCCCTCCTCCTCTCCTCCTCTGTTTCCTCCCCCTCCCTCCTGTTCTTGGCCCTACCATGGTGACGCTCATCATTTCTGGTTTTTCCTGTTGGAGGCTTCTTTAGTCATCTGAGTCCTACGTTATCTCTGAACTCTTCCCTATCACTAGTTATTCATATGAACTATTTGGTACCCGATTATGTAGTAAGGCTAGCCAACACACACATTTTATAAAATACTTCTACACTGTGTCATTCATACTCAAAACAACCCTGTAAGGTTGGAAAAGAGGTACTATTTTTCTTCTTTGGTGAGAATTTTTAGTTTTCAAATTCTTTTTTTTACTTTATTGTGTTATCATTATACTCTCATTTTGTTCTAATTGTTTCAACTGTGTTGGTATTTTATTTTCAACTAGATTATAATGTAGGACATTGCTTTATGTCTTTTAATACACTCCCAGTACTTAACATACAGCTGAACATGTAGTATGTGCTCAATAAATATTTTTTAAATGAATGAGAGTTGAATAACTGAATGACTGGATGAATGATGGAGAGGTAGGGCAGACAGAGTTCAGAATTAATCTTATTTTCATGCCCTTGCCATCAAAGCATTAATGAGCCCTAGTCCAGCCATAGCTACCATGTATTGCGTTGTTCTGTTGGGTACCTTGATGATTATCTTCACCTGCCTGCCTCTACAAAGTCGGTGTTACCCTCTCTTGGCTGAGAAGCAAACTGAAGATTGTTGGGGCCAAGTAGCTTGCCCTTCGCTCCTTGACTAAAACCTGACAGAGCCATGATCCCCACACAGGTTAATCTGGCTTAGAATCTATTTTTTCACTATACCATTGTTCATTTTTATCAGTATTGGAAAACTTGTCACTGTCTGGTCTCAAACAAGAGGCGAGATAAGCGCGGATAAGCCCTGATGAAGGCATCCTTCAGAATAGTTTTTCCTGGTCAGAGGGTCACTTCGTTTCCTCTTGGCTTCCCCAGGCACTGGGAAGACCTCTACCCTGGTCAAGTATGCTGAGAAGTGGTCTGGGAGCAGGTTTCTTTATGTGACATTCAACAAGAGCATCGCAAAGCAGGCCGAGCGAGTCTTCCCCAGCAATGTCACCTGCAAAACCTTTCATTCCATGGCCTATGGACACATTGGGCGGAAGTGAGCATTACATTGCCACCATTGTTATTATATCTAATCACTGTTTTTCATGTTGCAATCCTCGTGATCACATATGGACTTACACCACAATGACACCAAGAAAATTTAACCTTTTTGTCTCCATGTATAGGCAGGAAATATAAAGTCAGATTTAGCGATTTGTTCTTTTACTCAATAAAAATACATTGTTTACAAATAATATCAAAGGGGGAGCCAACCTCATTTCTCTGGAATTGAAGCACAGAAAGTAAAAGACTTGTCTAGAGTTCAGGGTAGCAGCCATCTGATCAGTCACTTCTAGGCTTTCCTTGGAATGGGGTGAGAGGGAGAAGACTAAGCTGAGATATACTTGCCCCAGGTCTCTTGAGGCCTCTGAACCAGCATTCCCTTGGATATGAAGGTTTCGAGAAACTTTGAGTGTCTGCCCTTGGGGGCCTCTTGGGGAGTCTGTTTCACGCCTTAGAGTCGTAGTGGCTGCCATGAGCCACTTCATTTTCTGAGTTATTGTATGTGAATTCCTGACAGCTTAATGTGAAGCCATTTCAAATGATACATGGATCTGGCTCAACTTCTCTGGCTTTCTATTCTCCCTCATCTGTATGTGACACTGGGAGTGACCTTGTGGTGTCATTGGAGAGAAGGGGATTGGGAGTGAGGGGGCACATTTTATTGGCATTGTTAATAAAGCCAAATACTATTCATTTGGGGTGTGTATTACAGGTACCAAACAAAGAAGAAATTGAATCTCTTCAAGTTAACACCCTTCATGGTCAATTCTGTCCTTGCTGAAGGGAAAGGTGGATTCATAAGGGCCAAGCTAGTGTGTAAGACTTTAGAAAACTTCTTTGCCTCTGCTGACGAAGAGCTGACTATTGATCATGTGCCTATTTGGTGTAAGGACAACCAAGGACAGAGAGTCATGGTTGAACAGAGTGAAAAACTGGTGAGTATTTAAATATCTTTAGAACCAGGGATCAGAGGTTAAATGAGAAGAGTTGACACGGTACAGTGTAGTGTTTGTCTTTCATTTCCTCATAAGCACTGGCAGGAAATAAAGGAAGAGGGGTGAGACTGTAGGTCAGTCGTAATTGTGGGTTGTAAAGCGTTTTCTGCGAAGAGCGTTCATGGACAACTCACTCCACGCTGGTCCTCCCATTCAGCAATGAGGCACCTACCCAGGGTTTATAGAGCTTTTCACTGGGGCTGCTAGGCGAATCTAAAGATTAGGAATCTCTTTTCTAATTTTTAACAAGTTTTTTCCAATCATTTGCCATTCTTTTTATGAGTTAATTATTAGTCATAAATCTAGAGAAATAATCCAGCCTTTTCTGGTGCATCAGATTTTGTGCTGTCCGAGCAATGTTCTGTCACTGGGCTGTCATGGAGCCAGAAGGAAATTAGGGAAGTGACTGCCACTCACCAAGCTGTGATGGTGCCTTTATTCTGACCTCTGCTCTGTATGTGGAAACGAAAAGTGTGATTTCAGGGTGCTGTCTTTTCCAGGGTCTTAAACTAGGAGTTACCAATTACTTGTTTTCTAGAACAGTGTTCTTGAAGCAAGCCGCCTTTGGGATAACATGCAGAAGCTGGGGGAATGCAAAGAAGAGGCTTACCAAATGACTCATGATGGTATGCAAGTCCCCAAATCTCGATATCCATTAGATGCAACTGCTTTAGTTATGAGTTCTGACTCTTGCCACTCTCTTTTTTTAGGCTACTTGAAACTTTGGCAGCTGAGCAAACCTTTGCTTGCCTCTTTTGATGCCATCTTTGTGGATGAGGCCCAGGACTGTACCCCAGGTGATAAACTATTCACGACACCAGTAGTCTCGAATACGTAGAAACAACATCATGATTGTATAAGAGGACTTATGTGTGAAATGAGTTGATCATTCTTATTTGTCCTAAAGAAGAAGAACAAATGATACTTGGTCACTCAGAAATCCCTTATTGACTTTGAATTTCAACAGTTGTCCTTCCCCCCACCCAAGGCAGATTAATTTTCCTCTAAATGTTTTGCTTTGGGTTATTCTTAAAATGTCAACCAAGCATAGGTCATCAGAGGGTAGGGAAGGGACCTAGACTCATGCCAAGTGGGAAGAGATGGTCAATTTAGAGTGAACAGTTTGTGTTGTATATATTTCAGATGGCTAGTAGAAAATAGTGTGACTTGGTAGGTTATCTGGGGACCGTAAGTTATAATATTAAGAGAGAAAAGACAATTTACCTCATTTTATACTTGCCTATGTGGTTTCTTATACGCAATAATTTGTCCAGGACTAAAAATAACTGACTTTCCTAGGATTAGAAACTGTCCTTTTGTCTGTTATTAAATGATTTCTTTGGACTGAGTGTGCCTATACTGCAGGAAAACAGAACTCTGGTGTACAGTGTGCCCTGGCTTAGTTTCAGGAAACCATTTTTATCCTTTCTGTCTGAAATGTGGCTTCTTTTTGCCATGTGGGTCGGTACTCTTTTAGATCTCTTACTTTTTCCCTCTTATTGGTTTCAGCAATCATGAATATAGTCCTGTCTCAGCCGTGCGGAAAGATCTTTGTAGGGGACCCACACCAGCAGATCTATACCTTCCGCGGTGCAGTCAACGCCCTGTTTACAGTCCCTCACACTCACGTCTTCTATCTCACACAGGTGAGAGTTCTCTTTGCTTCCAAGTCCCCAGCAGTACATAAAGAAGCATTGTGGTTTTCCGCCCTTGTTCTTCAATGCTTACTGTGTGCCAGGACCTGTGCGAGGTTTTGTGTCAGGTTCATAGTATGTAGCCAATCCTTGCTTCTAAGCAGTGGGTCTGTGGTTTTTAGGGGACCTACAAAGTCAAAACAGTTTTCATAATAGTAATTTGCCCTTTTCACTGTGTTGACATTTGAACTGATGATGCAAAGCAGTGTGGGTGAAATGGCCCATGCCTTGCTGTGAACCAAGGCATCAGCGCAAAATGGTACCTGCAGTAATTGTGTTCTTTACTGCCATGCACTTACACAGTTTGAAAACAACAACAACAAAAACAAACATGGATATACCTGACATAGCAAAAATGATTAATTTTATTAATTCCTGTTTCTTGAAGATGTCTCTTCAGTGTTCTGGGTGATGAAGTGGGAAGTGTGAATAAAGTACTTCTGCATAACGAAGTATGTTGGTTTTCTAATGAAGAGCACTTTTGTGACTGAGTTGGGAGCTACACTGGCAGCTTTTTTTCTTGTAATACTATTTGTCATTGAAAGAACAGCTGACAGACTTATGGTTATTCAGATTTGGGTTTTTAACATTTTCCCAAAAATGAATGAAATGAGCTGTGACTCAGCAAAAACAACTTACAATTTTTTATTGCCAAAGATAAAAAACCTTTACTCTCAAGTGAAATGAAAATTTTGAAAAACTTATGTTTGCCATTTTGAGCATGACAACTCATGGTGTCCTTGATTGTCTGGAAAGGTTATTAAACTTCCCTCCCCTTTTCTGTGTGTATGTGTGAAAGGCTGAATTTTCTTCATTTTGTTCAACTAAAACAGCACAGCATCACAGATGGAGCACAGGCAGAATGAGAACCCAGCTGTCTTCTCTTCAGCTGGGCATTACAGAGATTTGTAGAAATGTAAAAGAGTGACATTCTTCCTGCCAAATTTTTTTTGTTTTTGGAAAATACGTTTTTAAAAAAATGTGTTATTTATATTATGCAGTGGGTTTCTTATTGTCTTTTTATCATTTATTTATTTTTATTGATTGATTTGAGAGAGAGAGAGAGATGTTGACTTACTGTTCCACCCACTTACTCATTCATTGGTTGCTTCTTGTATGTCTTGATTGGGGATCAAACCCACAACCTTGGCATATCAGAACAATGCTCCAATCAACTGAGCTACCAGGCCAGGACCATTATTGTTATTTTTATTTATTTACTTTTTTTTTAAGAAAGAGAGGGGAAAGGAGGGAGAAAGAGAGGAAGAGAAACATCAGTTTATAAGAGATATATTGATCAGTAGCCTCTTACATGCCCCCATCTGGGGACAAGGCCCACAACCCAGGCATATGCCCTAATTGGGAATTGAACCAGCGGCCTTTTGGTTCACAGGCCAGTGCTCAGTACATTGAGTCACACCAGCCAAGGCTATTGTTGTTTTTAAATGAATCAAAGTTTCTAGTGATTACTATAGTTAGATATAACTCACATAATTAAAACTCTTTTAAGGCCTCAGCAATTTTTGGAAGTTTAGAGAGTACTGAGACCAAGGGGTGCAAGAAGTATTGCTTTTAAGAAACTTTTCTAGCCCTAGCTGGTATTGCTCAGTGGATTGAGCGTGGGCCTGTGAACCAAAAGATCACAGTTTGATTCCCACTCAGGGCACATGCTTGGGCCAGAGGCCAGTTTCCAGCGGAGTACACATGAGAGGCAACCATACATTGATATTTCTCTCCCTCACTCCTTCCCTTCCCCTCTAAAGATAAATAAATAGAATCTTTAAAACAAAAAAAGAAACTCTTCTAGATAGAGGATATGAGATCTGCCAACTATTCAAGTGCAATCTGAACTGTTTTGTTCTGTTGTAGAAAGTTCTGTAGCCTATTCTGTGACTTTATTCCTTTGAGTTCCTGTTGTATTCTACAGTGATTTGGGGTAACATCAACTCAGAGTAACTTTTTAATAGGCTGTTTTTAGTTTCAGATTTACAGAAAAATTGAGAAAGTAGTACAGAAATTTCCCATATACTGTGCATTCAGTTTACCCTGTTATTAACATGGTATTGTAGTACGTTTGCCACAATTAATGAACTAATATTGACACATTATTATAAAGCTCTTAGTTTATTCAGACTTCCTTAGTTTTTACCTAATGTCCTTTTTGTTCCGGGATCTTATGAGGGTTGCCATATTACATGTAGTTGTCATGTCTTCGTAGCCTCCTGTTGGCTGTGACAGTTTCTCAGACTTTTTTTGTTTTTGAAGACTGACACTTTTGGAGAGTCCTGCTTAGGTGTTTTGTAGGATGCCTATGTTAAAATTGTTGACTGTTTTTCTTATGAGTGTTGGGGAAGAAGATCTCCCAGAACAAAAATTGTCATTATCATCACAATATTGAGGGCACATACTATCATTTTTATCACATAATATCAAGGGAATATGATTTATGACTGTTGATGTTGACCTTGATCATCTAGTGGGAATAGTATTTGTTGGGTTTCTCCACTGTGAACTTACTCTCCCTGCCTCTTGCCCTTTCTATACTATAATATATACTTTGGAAGGAAGTCACTATACTTAACCCTCACTCAAGGAATAAGTGTTGGAGTGGCTACATACATTATTTATAATTCTTCTGCAAGGGAGATTTGTGTCTTCCATTTATTTATTCAGTCATTTATTTATATTGGCATTGACACACAAATATTTATGATTTGGGTTATGGTTTACTCAGAAAACTTCCATAGCAACAAAGTACTATTTGTTGAAAGTCTCATTTTTCTTAAGACTGTACTGTTAATGTTCACCAAAGCACATCATCCTTTACTACCTTAGGTTGGAAATGCATAGAAAAGACAATATCATGAGTTTGGGAAAGAATGATGTCTTTCCAGCTGCAGTGGTCAAGGCATTAGGGTGTTAGGTGGAATTTTGAGGGGTGGGTAATTGTTTTGCCATGCACCAGGGCAGAGAGTGGGGAGGGAATGCTCAGGAAATGATTATATAATACTTGGGGTTGATTATGTAGGGCAGTGTTTTTAGATTAATGTAGAGAGAATTTGAAAGGCAAGGAGAGAAGCCTTCCCTAAGTTCTCTTAATCTTTTGTATAATTTATATTTCTTAGATTTGATTTGGAAATAAGGGTAGATTTGCTTACAAACATTTGCTATTGGTTTTGGGAATAGGTTGTTAACACTGTGATGAATCTTGAAAATGTAGGCATCACCTTTTCCTCCTGTATTGCTCTTCTTTTTTGAGCAAACGCATGGCTTGAGGACAGTGTGTGGGGAAGATTGATCTGACAGCCCTGGCTGGCGTGGGTCAGTTGGTAGGGCACCTTCCCACAAACCAAAAGGTTGTGGGTTGTGGGTCAGAGCACATGCCTGGGTTGCAGGTTAGGTCCCCAGTCAAGTACACGAAGAGGCAACCAATTGATGTTTCTCTCTCACATCTGTGTTTCCCTTTTTCACCCTCCCTTCCCTCTCTGTCACTAATAAGCATCCTCTCGGGTGAGGACGGAAAAAAAAAGATTGATCTGACAGAGGTGTGGAGAGGTTTTTGGCAGTGGGAGGAGACTGGAGGGGAGAAGGTCAAGTAGGTGAGGCATGAAGTTTGAGTTTCTGAGCTGACCCGGCAACAGTGGTAAGAAAAATATTATAACAAATTTGGTGGACGAATTGTCAAGATTTGGATTTGGAGACAAGAGGTAAAGAAAAATAGTTAACTCTAAGGTTTCAAGATAGAAAATGCTGTTCTGAAAACTTAGAAATAAAGTCTTTGATTCTTTGTCAAGTTCCTATTCAGTACAAGTGAGTTTACAGTAGAGAATTTCCAAATATGCTTTCCACGTAAGGTGAGTCAGGAAGGATCATTTTGGCAAGGCCAGGACTTGGCAGTGACACAAGTATGCTAACATACTTCAGGGGGAGGTTGTTAACTCCTTTGGTTTTCTGTTTTCCAACAGAGTTTTAGATTTGGTGTGGAAATAGCTTATGTGGGAGCTACTATCTTGGATGTCTGCAAGAGAGTACGGAAAAAGACTTTGGTTGGAGGAAACCACCAGAGTAAGGCTTTCAGTTACTTTTTAAAATTTGGGACAAAAATTAGTTTTCCTCTTTATTTGGGTTTGCTGGAGAGTTTGTGCTCTCTCCCAAAAGGTGGCATTAGAGGTGATACCAAGGGGCAGGTGGCCCTGTTGTCCCGGACCAACGCCAATGTGTTTGATGAGGCTGTACGGGTGACCGATGGAGAAGTGCCTGCAAAGATACATTTGATTGGGGTAAGAGTAAATTTCTCTTAACTGCTTCACGCACAGAAACATTTCAGACAAACATAGACAGTGAAAGTGTTTAATTTTAATTAGGATTATTATGCAAGCAAGCATTTGGGTTTTGACAATTTTCACCATCTGCGCCATGACTGAAGTCTTTTCTCCCTGAACATTCTGATTATGCTAGCCAACATTCTGTAAAGTCAGATCCAACAAGCACTTGAAGATCTTTTCTCTTACTCTTTAAAAAATAAATGCCCTTCTCACCTTTGGCTATGCAAATGAGGCCACGGGCTCTCTCTGAGTGTCCCAGTGTATGTTGTTCGTTAGTGTAAGAACCAGTGAGGGACAGCACAGCAGGGCAGGCTAGCGGGCTCTAGTGAATAGAGTGTATGTACCTGGTTCTAGCTCGGGTTCTGTCACTAACTTTGTGTGGCTTGTGGCAAGTCACAGCTTCCGTGTGCCTCATTCTCTCCATCTCTAAGATAAAGATAATGCCTTTCCTTTACCTGTTTCACGGGGAAATTAGGGATCAGTGACGTGTGTGGCACTTTTGACTCTTGGAAGCCAAAGAGTGAATATGGCTAAAAGATATTCACTCATTCATTTATGAAAAAGACATTTTCCATGTGTAGGCACTCACTAAATGTATTTAGTGAATTATAATCAAAAGATGTTCTGACTTCTCTTTATTTATAAAGATTATATTAACCAAATTATAGGAAAAAGTTCAGCCTTAATCTCAGTATTTCATAGCATTCTCTTTTTGCTAATTATTTCTCATTGTTCTTCTAGATGTTTATTTTTACATAATTGTAATTATAGTGTACATTAAAAAGATGCTGTTTTAACTCAACACATAAGCATATTTTCTTTCATGTTGCCACTATAATAACTACAGTATTTCATGCAGATATCTCATTTCATGAAATGAGATATTGCAATAACTATAATATCTCATTTCAGTGGCTATAGCATAATTTAGCCATTTTTGTTACTGTAAGAAAATAATGCAGACTTGGGGAATATCATTCATCCTGGGTGTGATATAATGTAAGTTGCTTCTTCCCTTCTGTGTATCTACTCATCACCTATAGCATGGATCATTACACATGGTCACGTCTGATTTCCAATTATGCATACCGTCTTATTTTGGTCTCTGTTTTATGTTAATGTGTTACGTGTCCCTCTTCAAAATGATGCTAAAGCCTTTGACATATGTTTCTTCTGTACTGGGACCTGGTGCCATGCAAATGCTGGGTCCCAGCCACTGCTCAGTACACGCTTCCAGGTAGACTTGGGCTGAACTGTGGGTACGGTCAGGCCCTCTTCTCCAGGACCTAACAACCTTTTAAAACACAATAATCTGGACCTATAGACATTCTGTAGTTCTTTTCTCAAAAGAAACAATGGTAAGTATTCATATTTCACTCTTTGTCTTTAGATATCATTTATTCTTCATTGTAACCTTTTATATTCCTACAAGGTAGATGATTTAAATTGCCCTTTGTGACAAAAAAATTCAGCTAGTTTCTTGCCTTTTTAAAACATAGAAAGAGTTTGAGGTAGCAGCTTAAAACTTAGCGTTTGGTAATCCTGAATTTTCAGGCTGCGTTATAGCCTAGTGCTTTTATGCCTGACGAAGTTTCCTGCTTACTGTCCTTATGCTTTGGGTGCAATTTGAGATTTGTTTCCAAGAAAATATCTGATTTTCCGAATCACATCTCTACATTTGGTTTACTTTTGTTAAGACAACAACAAAAACAAAACAAAATGAAAAACAACAAAAAAACTAACAAGTCCCACACAAAAAACTAAAAAGTCCCACACAAAAAACTTTTTCAGGGGATTAAATCATTTGGATTGGACAGAATCATTGATATTTGGATCCTTCTTCAGCCGGAGGAAGAACGGAGGAAACGTGAGTACCTTCCTGGCCATGGTGCCGTGGACGGAAGCACTCCAGTGACGAGGGATGGGAGAAGGATGGGCATGTTCTAAGTCAGAGTGTTTTCATTCTGGAGAAGGGTGGAGCTAGTGTGGCTCTTTCCCATCAAGACTGGGATGCCTGAGGCCTTCTGTTTGCAGAGGTACTGATAGCTTTTTCCACATCCTTTTTTTAGGAGTCTAATTTTTTTCTATTGTTGGCCCCTTAGGCTGTCTTCCCTCATCATCTTTTCTGTCTGCCTGGGCAACTTTACACATTAAAACTTCTGCATGTGCCCCAAATGATCATTGCTAACATTTCTATAGCACTTTCCTTTTCATTACTGTGCTATTTCAAATCCCTGTGAAGTAGGTAAGGATCTCAAGGGTAGGGCTCTTGATTCTCAGTTTGGAGACGGAGAGGCTAAAGCACAGGTCATTTCACTGACTTGCCCAGGAACACACAGTTGGTTAGTGATATAGTCGGGACTAGAACCTGGATCTCCCAATCTTAAGACCATGCACTGATGCTACTGGTTAGGAACGTGTAGCTGCTGCCACCATATGTCAGTGTAGCCTGTATCACATTAACTTGTGTTTGTATTTTCCATAGGAAACCTCATTATTAAAGACAGGTTTATTAGAAGATGGGTGCACAAAGAAGGCTTTAGTGGCTTCAAGAGGTATGTGACTGCAGCCGAGGATAAGGAGCTTGAAGCAAAGATTGCTGTCGTTGAAAAGTATAACATCAGGATCCCAGAACTGGTGGAAAGGATAGAAAAATGCCACATACAAGACTTGGACTTTGCAGGTAAGGAAAAACAGTTCTTCACTTCCCACCAGAAGGAACAGATGATCTTCTGATGCTTCTTGCCGATATGAATATCATGTGTGGTCAAGGGCGACTTCGTTGCACTCCTGGCATTGCCTAAGAATAGGGAACAGAGCTGCCATTCTTCCTTAGGGGTCCTTTGCTTCTGCTCTACCTCCAAGCTGGTAGGTGGGACTTTCTAGTCCCAACTCTGTTGCCGTGTGACTTTGGGCAAAACATTTACTCATTTTCTGGGCCTCTGTCCTTTCATGTGTGAAGCATAGGAGGTGGGCAGGTCACTGTGAGCTCTGGGAGGTGGTTCTGAGATGCATTGACTGACCTGCAATAACTTTTCTACTGTTCCCCTCATCTTTTAATTTTTCTCTTTATTGCTCTTTTTTTCCCCCTGGCTATATTTTCCTCTCTCCTCCTTTTCCCACAAATACACAGGTGGGAAAACAAAGTTAGAGTTTTAAAGGACGGTAGGAAGAGGACATTTTTTCCCTTTCTTTTGTTTTCTCCTCCTGTCTCTGCCCCATCTAATGCTATGCTGTGTTTTTATTCCAGAGTACATTTTGGGTACTGTGCACAAAGCCAAAGGCTTGGAGTTTGATACCGTTCATGTTTTGGATGATTTTGTGAAAGTGCCTTGCGCCAGGCACAACCTTGCCCAGCTGCCCCACTTTAGAGTTGGTAAGACTGGTTGCACTGAGGATCCTCTTTAAGAGTTGACTAGAGCCCTGGCTGGTGTAGCTCAGTGGATTGAGTGCGGGTCTGCGAAGCAAAGGATCGTGGTTCGATTCCCAGTCAGGGCACATACCTGGGCTGCAGGCCAGTTCCCAGCAGGGACACACAGGAGACAACCATACATTGATATTACTCTCCCTCTCTCCTTTCCTTCCCCTCTAAAGATAAATAAATAAAATCTTAAAAAAAAAAAAGAGTTGACTGGAGATGCTTCCTTGGGATGCCTTCCTTTTTGTTGGGTCATGTAGCCTTTTGGAAGGATTCTCCTAGAAGAAAAACAAGCACCTCCCAGTCTTAAACTTGTTATTCATACACTACATTTTTTACAAACTGTACTTCCAGAGCCCGCCTCTCTTGGCGCTGCCTCTAGGGCACTTCTGTTTAGTGTCCCTGTGTAGACGGCATCAGCTCTTCAACTTTGGGTTTAACCATCAGACTCGGGAAGCTTTCAAATGCACAGCTTACCTTCCCACCAGGGTGTTTTTTTTCTTGAACGAACTTTCCTTTGTATTAAAGCGGTCATAAAATCATAAAAGCTCTCTATTATTTATCTGCTTTTGTATAAATTTATGCTCACGGCTAGTTGTTAAACTGTAAGCATAAGTGCTTTTGCTTTAGTTTTAAATTTTAGAATAAAATCATTTGAAGTTTTCCTACTAACAAACAAATAAAACCTGTCAGGTAACTGTGGATTCAAAATTTGGGGCATAGCATACATTGGTGGGCTAAAATAGAAATGCTGAAACCTCCTATACTGATGAATAGATTCATAAAATCAAGAGAAAGACATGGTATTGAACATAACTTAAAGTGGGGTGGGGAAAAATGGCCATAGAGAGTTATCAGTTGCTTTATGTTGGGGAAGAGAAGTTTATTTAATATACTACTACCTTTTTTCCCCTGTGCCGATCATTACACATTTATATATGAACAGCTCTTTGAGATATGATTCACAACCATTCCATCCGTTGATTTAAAGTATACAGTTCAAGGGCTTTTAGTGCATTCACAGATTAACTGCTCTATTGAATTTTTACCCTTGTGCTACGTATTGTAAATGAGAGAATCGAGGTGTAAGGTAGGCAATAAAGATTTGTAATTTGTTTTTCTCCTCTGATTGTCTTGTAACAACATAAGGCATTTCCCCATTGGCCCAAGTAAGAAAGTGTCAGGAAAAGGAAAGAACTTGGGTTTTAGAGACTTGGGTTAAACTCCTGGACTTTTGATTAGCCATGGCTTATTTGTCTAAATGCTTTACCCTCCTTAGCCTCAGTTTCCCTGTCAGTCCCCCAGGGTTGTGAGGGTAACTGGGAGAATGAACAGGAAATATACACTGGGGCCATCATAGGTGTTGACTCACCAGTGAACCAGTTCCCAGGATTTGCCAGTAGTAGCACTAACTGAAACTCAGTATTTTGTGCCACTAGTCTTTAGGTTTTTGTTTGTGTTTGGAGTTGGTGTTTATAGGAAAATTTTGTGTATATAGCCAGAAAATCTTGAGTGGGTTTTTTTTTTCTTTTTTTTTTTTGGCAGGGCTGGATGAGGGGTAGTTAACATTTAGATGAGAACATAAATTTTTGCAAGCAGGCTTTTGAGTTGATACATTTCACCCCTTTACCTTATCTTTAGAGTCATTTTCTGAGGATGAATGGAATTTACTGTATGTTGCAGTAACTCGTGCCAAGAAGCAGCTCATCATGACCAAATCGTTGGAGAACATCTTGACTTTGGCTGGGGTAAGAGGAACTGGTAGTGCAAATTAGTTTATTTACCATATTTGGATTTTAGTGGGTTTGAATAAGGGATCAACCTACCCTGGGTTAGAAGAGAAGGGCTTCTCTTTCTCGAGTGCACAGAGGCTTATTGCTAGTGCAGGAGACATTCTAATTAAAGAAACAGAAATGTGGATTCTCTTCTAAATTCTTTCCTAATTCAGCTTCAAAAGTTTTTTTAGCCCTGGTTTGGAGGCTCAGTTGGTTGGGGCATTGTCCCATACACCAAAAGGTTGTGTGTTCGATCCCCAGTCAAGGCATGTATGGAGGCAGCCAGTCGATGTTTCTCTCTCCCTGCCCCAGCCCCCTCTCTAAAAATTAGTAAACATATCCTCAGGCGAGGGTTTTTGTTTAAGTTCTTTGAAAAAATATCAGCTATGTTCATGTATTTTTAAATTTTTCCTTACTCAATTAGTGTTCAACATTCCTAGGGGAAAAAAACCTAGCAAGAATGTTTTCTACATTTGAACTTTCTCCCTCTCACTCCCTAGTTTCTCTTGAACTGGCAATTGCTGTTGCCACCAGTAGACTTCTCCCAAAAGAACATGTCCTTACCAGGGAGAAGGAGTATTCCTGCACCTGGCCTCTTGTCCTGAGTGAGATGCAGAAAAGTATCAGCACTCACCCTTTACCCCGGCAAGCCAGCCTTCTCCCGCACTCTCCCGTTCCTACCGCCTTTCTGCCTTCCATGGGTTGGGGCATAAGCCAACTTGACAACCCTGTTGGAAATTAGAACAGAAATTTGAGCTTACAGTTACTGCTTAGTCTATCTTTCCCTGAACCATAGATACTTAAGCCTGAGATCTAAAACTTGAATATAGAAGTTATTAAAAATTCTCCTTCATCCTTACCTATTTCTAAAACATGTAAGATTTTGTACTGCAGGATGATTTAGTCCAAGTGCCATATTGCATGTTCTCTCAAGGATTGGCGAGTACGTGAAGCTGTAGAATCTAAGCATTGCTACCAGTGGCTTTGAACCTCTCGATTGGGTGGAGGTGTGGGACAGTAATCATTTTTAACAAATGGTATTCACAGTCTTGAATTTGTTAAGTGGTGGTAGAATAGAATCCTGACCTTCAGACTTGAATATGTATTGAGTGCCTAATATGTGCCAAGCACAGTTCTAGGCACTGGAGCTACAGTGGTGGGCAAGGGAAATCCCTGCCCTCTTAGAGCTTATATTGTAGGTGAAAAGACAGTAGACAAGTAAGCAAATACAGTTTCTCTTCGAATTTTGAGAAGAATATCAGCTTAAGAGGGAGAACTTTGCAGGTAAATACTCTATATGACCTGTTAGAACAGCAAAAGCATCTTGCCTAAGACCGATTACCTTGCATTTTTATTGAACTTTGTTCTTTCAAGCCTCCTTCTCACATTTTTTCCATACCTCTCTTGAATCAAGCCTACTTGGCCGCTGGAATTTGAAATCAGCTGCATGTTTTCCTAATTAGTTTTGCTTCACCTGGGCCTCACCTTGTGTAACATCTCACCTTGTGTGGCAGCTCACGTGGCAGAGCTTCTACTGAAGACTCTTTCCTTGGTTGTATCCTCATTGGCACCTGGGTCACCATTGGAGATGAGTTAGAGCAGATCTCTGAACTTTTCTGTAAAGATCCGGACAGTAAATATGCTTGGCTTTGCAGGTCACAGTGTCTCTGTTGCATCTACTCAGCTCTGTTGGTGTAGTAAGAGAGCATCCACAGGAATTCATTAATAAATGAGTGTGGCTGCGTCCCAATAAAACTTTATTTACAACAGGTGAATCAGTATCTAAGTATTGCTGGTCTGGATTTGGCCCCCAAGTTGTAGTTTGCTGATCTCTGCTTTAGAGATAAGTATGGCTTTTTCTAATTTTAGGGAGTGCAGAAGAATAATAATTATTATGTACAAATAATTTATACTTATCACATAACTTTTTATATAAACTGATCTTGAGTATACCTGCAGTATGCTTTTCTCATAAAAATAATGTTACATTAGTGGTTAGATCTGTAACAAAACCAAATTGTCATGTTGGTAACTTTTTACATTTTATTTATTTATTTTTAGAGGGAAAGGGAGGAAGTGAGGGCAAGAAACCAGTATGTGGTTGCCTCTCTCATACCCCCTACTGGGAATCTAGCCTGCAACCCAGGGATGTTCCCTGACTGGGAATGGAACCAGTGACCCTTTGGTTTGCAGGCTGGTGCTCAATCCACTGAGCCATACAAACCAGGGCTCATTTTGGTAACTTTTAATGGAGGTATTGTAGAGCAGTAATATCATTTCACAACATAGGTTAAATAGAATTTTTCTTGAACTTAAGACATTTAAAAGTTGAAAAAATGATATGTTAAATTACTATATACAAATTATCTCTCTATATATTTGGAGTATGCATCTCTGAAAAAATGAGCCATCTTTTTTCATAGCCAAAGAGCCATTATCATCATATAAAACTTACAATAATTTCATGTAGCTCTACTGTTCAATCCATAATCATACATTTTGTTGTTCAGTCTCTTAAGTTTCTTAATATGGAGTGGTCAAGACCCCCTTCCTCCTTTTTAATGCTTCTGAGTTTTTGCAGAAACTGAGTTAGTTTTCCTACATAATGTTTCACATTCCAGATTTGCTTCCTAGTGTGGTTTTTTAGCTTATTTTACTATTACCTACCCTGGATTTCCTATAACTGGAAGTTGAGGCTTAATTAAATTCAGGCTTAACTTTTCTGGCAGGAATCCTTTATTTGGGGGTCAGAGAAGGGTTTTGCTTTGTATTGCCTCACATTAGAAGACAATGATATCAGGTGATCTCCCTTTTAGCGATGCTAAGATCATTCAACTTTTTAGTAGACAGAACTTGGAAATCCATATTTTTGAAAGGAAAGAAATGTCAAGAGTTCGTACTGATAATTCCAACTTTTTGTTTAAACTCTTTGTGGCTCAGTATAACACAAATGTAGAAAACAGATGTGCACTTTGCAGTCAGGATGATTGACTGTTCACCCAGGTCAGGAGATGGATTTGCCATCTGCCCAGCTGCCCTCCAGGGAGCCCCGCACAGTCAGCACCCCCACCGGGCCCTCATGAGCGTAGCTGCCGTCCTAGCTTTTACATGAGGACTTTTTTCACTTTTTCTCATAGTTTCCTCCCACGTGTGTACCACCAACAGTATGAGTAAGAAAAACAGTTGGGCACATGCCGTCTTCATCCTTTCATCTTCACAGTGAGGCTGCAACTGCGTCTGCGTTGTCAGAGCCGGAAGCCATTTACATTAGAACTCTTACTGGTTACAGTTCTACAATCCAAGTCGGATGAGCATTAAGGGATTTTTTACTTCTTTTACACTTGAAGCTTTTCTCTTACACTGAAAATCTTGGTTCCAAACAGTATTTATTAATTCCTTATTCATACTATTCTACTGTATAGAAAGAAGATATTTAAAAATAATAGCAATATTACTGAATGCTGAATGGAATTTACAATTTCCTAACAGCCCCCTTTCTCCAAATTCCACTAAGGATGTATAGTCAGAATATCATTCTTTTAAAATTTTTTTGTTTATTTATTTTTAGAAAGAAGGGAGGGAGGGAGAGAGACATCAATGTATGAGAGGAGCATCGACTGGTTGCCTTTTGTGCGCCCCCAACTGGGGACCTGGAATGTGATCCAGGCGTGTGCCCTGACTGGGAATCAAACCAGGGACCTTTCAGTTCACAGGCTGGCACTCAATCCACTGAGCCACACCAGCCAGGGCAGAGTATCATACGGAAGGCAATTGAAATAAGTCTTTTTTCCCCTGTAGTTTGAGGATCAATTTAATTACAGTTAGATACACATTTGTTTGTTTATAATCCCTATAGGAATTGCTTGGCTTCTTTTTGACTTAATTATCTGTTTTGAATGAGTGGGACATTTATGTTTTCAACATCAAAATTTTGTAACAGATACATTAGAGAAGTCTCTTTCCATCCCTGTCCCCTTCAGATTTTCTCTCCCTCTGTCATTAACAGTTTATTTTTAAATTAGTTTTTGATCTATTCTTTAGTTTTTTTGGTAAAAATGTATATTTTTCTGTATATTCTCCTTTTTCACAAAAGGTGTCCTTCTATTTATAATGCTCTGTATCTTCCTTTGTCACCGAGAACTGTGCATGGAAATCACTATCAGTTTGTGAAGCTCTTTCTCATTCCTTTGTACAGCTGAGTAGTAGTCACCATGTCGACACATCATGATTTATGCAGTTTCCCACTAACGGATACTAGATTCTTTCTAATCTTTTGCTTTAATAATAGTGCCACAATGCATAGTCATTTTCTATTCTTGCTTGTGCATTTTGGGGAACATACTTCTAGAATCTAAATTTCTGGGCAAAAGGTAAATAGTTGTGTGATTTTTCTAGATATTGCCAAATCCTTCATGGAGATTGTATACCTTGGAGTCCCACCAATTTATGTATAAGAGTCAAATAGGCTTTTTAAAGCTAACAGAAAACTTATCAGTTGGGTGCTGCATACACTCTTGGAGGGCAATGAGTGTTCTTCATAAAGAGTATGGAATCTAGAGAGACTTGCCCCTTATGAGATGGGGTTGGGAAACATCTGTTGGCCCTGGGGGTGCTCCGTGGAACCCCTGGATACATGGCCCATTTTGTGAACAGATGTTTATAAGTCTCAGACCTTAGGTGAGGTATGAGTACTTCTGCTTTTTCTTTATCATAGCTTATGAATCAATGTGGGGACATCCTGTTTCAGAAGTGGCTAAGTGTACCTTCTGTCCAGAGAGGAAGGCTATAGGGAATCTCAAAGGCTCTGATGGAGGGGAGGAGGGTTAATAATTTAGAGAGTATGAAAGCATGTTGCGAACAGTATAGTCAAACATAGTGAGGTTTTAGAACAAAAGTGAGCCATTGTTTCCCACTACATAGAGTGATAAATCATTTGGTCTCCCCTATAACCAAGAGTAGGGCAGCCAACCTACTTTTTCTCTGACACTCTTAGAAAATCTAGCTAATCACTGGGAACCTATTTATTCCTTTGTTTATTTTAGGTTTTGAGGAAGTGAAGGGAATCACTACACTATTGAATTGGAAAGTGACATGGAGTTATGCTAGTTGCTCAAAAATAGCTCCTTAGTCTCCTAGCATCTTAGATTCTTAATCCAAATCTCACAGGCATTTCCCTACAATAGTGCCTGGCACATGGTTGGTGCTCGGTGTTTGTTGAATGGATGAAAGCAGCATCCCCTCAAGTTCTGAGGCTGAACATAATCAGGCCTCAGATCAGGCTGCCTCTGTTCACATCCCAGTTCTTCCAGATGGACACTTCGTGACTGTGGGTGAGCTGCTTATCACTCTGTACTTCTGTTGACTACACCTCTGAGGAGGGAGCTGAAGGGTCACATGAAACTGGTGAAATAACTGCTCTACAATCAATTGGAAAAAGCAGAGGGGACACTCAAAGGTGGTTAGTTGTCTTTGAGACACTGAGTCCCCGCAGTGAGGTATAGAGGGGAGAACTGGCATTTTCAGAAGAGCTGTGTGGTCATCATTTCAGCAATGCATGTGTGCTCATTTATTCAGCAGTAATTCTGAGCACTTTCTACACAATAGAAGTCCTGTCGAGTCAATTTAGCTTTGTATCTGGAGATGATAAGAGAGACAAAGAGACTCTCTGTTGCTTGGTGATTAAAAGCACAGGCTCTGGACTTAGGCACTCCCAGGCTGGAGCCTCACTCACATCTGCCACAGTCTAGCTCTGTGATCTTTTGTACAAGTGACTTCATTTCTTGGCTCTCATGCCCTCATATATGCAATGGGGATGAGGACAAGAAATCATTGGTGAAGATTATATGTACAGTGCTTTATAAACAAAGGACCTGACTGCTAGCAGGGAAGCAAGGCATTTAAAAACAAAACAGCCTGGCATGGTTTAAGGAGGGAGGTATATGTGGTGGTGTCATGTGCCTTTGGATTCCTGAAGGCCAGGGGTTCCAGCGAAGCTTTTCTCCTGTGATTGTGTTTGCAACAGTTGGCAGTGGTCCATCTGCCAGTGCGTGACATGATTTGATATGTGCCCTTTGCAGTTCTTTGAGTGATGGTGTTTCCCAACAGTTACTGGTCTTCATACCTGTGAAAGTATTGGGTACCCAAGATGTCACTAAAGAATGTGGGTGACTTGATTAGTTGATTTACCTATTCATTCAGTTGACAAATATTAATTTATAGAACCCTGTTCTCACTGTAGTTGGTGCTAGGAGGTTTCCGTAACAAAACAAGTAAGATGCTTTGTGATCTCATGGACCTTACAGTCGAGGAAGGAAGCCATAAGGCAGTTTCGGATCTAACAGCAAGATTTTGGGAGTTGGAGTGTTTCCGGCTCCTTAGCTATTAAGAGTTTCCAAGTAGAAAGTAGCATAGGTATTGCTATTGTTCCCTTTCTCACTCTTTTCTTTCCAGGAGTACTTCTTGCAAGCAGAGCTGACGAGTAACGTTTTAAAAACAGGAGTGGTTCGCTGCTGTGTGGGGCAGTGCAACAACACTATCCCAGTGGACACTGTGCTCACCATGAAGAAGCTCCCCATCACTTATGTACGTGGTCTTGGATGCAGCTCTGGTTTTCTGTAGACTTTAATCCAGTCATTTGTGTTTTATTGCATGTGTGCTATCTGGGCCGTGGGTGAGGGAGATAAAAGAGAAATTGATATAATCCTTCTCGAGGGCTTTTTATATATAAGGCACAAGAGATGCCAGATCTACCTCTGTGTCAGAGATGATGATAACATAATCAGTATGGGTAGCACAGGCTGAGAGGTTGGGTTGTGACTGACACTTTGAGGAGAAGTACTTACCTGGTGAACTTGTTCTTGTCCCTTTGTCCCTGCCTTAATAATTCTGTTTTCTTCTGTAAGGGAATTTGATAGAGTTGAGCCCATCCTAGTTGACTGTGCAGTGGGAAGTACAGTAGTGCCTTAGTGCTCATCATTAATTTGTCCCAGAACTCGTGACGAGAGCTGAAACTGACAAGTAGTACTGAGCGAGTGACAGGTGATGAAGCATATTCTCTTGTGGGGTAGGATCGTGACTCATCCAAGTTCTAGCAAGTGATATGAGTCTCGAGCAAGTGCCGAGTGCTGAAACATTTTTTTCTTGTCAAAATGCAATGAGTACAGGGTTTAGTGAGTTCTGAAGCCAATAAGTACCAAGGTATGACTGTATTACCTAAGAGGTTTGCACAAGTCTGAAAATATCAGAATCATAACACAAGGTTCCTTGGCAGTGGGACAGCACTTCTTGGTGGAAAAACAATTCAGCACTTCTCAGTGGAAAATCCTTGTTTTCTGATTGTTCCTTTTCCCTCTTTTCCTTATCCCTCACTACAGAGCAACAGGAAGGAAAACAAGGGCGGCCACCTCTGCCACTCCTGTGCAGAACAGCGCATCGGGCCTTTGGCCTTCTTGACTGCCTCCCCCGAACAGGTGCACTCCATGGAACGCACCATCGAGAACATAGTGCTGCCCAGGCATGAAGCTCTGCTTTTCCTTGTCTTCTGAAAGCCAGGAGGAGCATTCTCCATGGTACAGATTGCCTTGTGTAGACTTCAGTTACTTGAAGAAAGCCAGTAGGTGGGGTTCTCATTCACCTGAGACTCTGAATTCACTCACAGAGCATTTTTGAGGAAGATGAAGCCAACCAGAGTTGGACCTGCCATTTCTCCATTCCTTAGACGTTGCCGGCTTCCACTGCCCCTCCTCCATGCACACAGGCTGGGGACAGTTGGGAAGTTCTTTTGATAAAAAAAAAAAAAAGAATACAACATTTTATGTATTTAAACTTTTATTACAAGGTTTCAATTAAACAAGCGTTGTAGAACTGACATACCACTGTGCGACACCTGCTTTCAGCCCCACTGTTTTGAACTTTCTCCAGTTTTTTCTCCACTCACAGTTTCTAACAGCTCGGTCACTATTCACACAACACACCAAACAGAATATGACACTTAATATCCAGGCTGACAATTGCTGCTTCAAAAATGAGATTTACATGCTGAGGAGACTCACACTCGTATGACATAATGCGCGCTTTTGTCGTCATGGGGTTCACGGTCTAAACGGGGAGGCAATATCATACAGAACAAGACCACAAAGTGACAATAGCAAGACTTCTTGTGTTTCCAGAGGTAGAACTAAAGATCAGAAATACCTGAGAGGGAGTGAGTGAAAGGGGTCAAAGGTAAAGAGAAAAATAAATAAATAAAATGCAGGCATTACTGAGCAGCACCAGAAAATAGCTTACTGTTATCTAGTAATTTGGAACCAAAAGAAAAAGAAACTTCAGGAGGCAGTGGAGTTAGCCAGCCGAGGGCTTGGGGATGAAGGAACAGGAACAGGCGGAGATGGACAGTCAGTGCCTGGATGGCTGCCTGGGGACGTGGGGTGGTTTTAATAAAGCTACTGTGATGGAAACCAGTGGAAAATTCACATTGCTTAGATGTGCACAGATCTGGTATGTTTCCATTTTTGCCATATATCACTTCAGGGATGTAGATGGCAGGTGAGGGGGTTGGCACGCCCTTGCCCAAAGAGTTTACCACGTCTGGTGTCTGAGCCAGGTGAGTGGCGCGCGAGAGCAACCTCAGAGCTTCCGTTGTTGCGGCCTCCCTTTGACCTCTCCTACCTCAGGGCTCTAGTGGAGCTTAGAGAGTGGTCAGTGAGTACAGCAAGGATGCTGTTGGATTGGGCCAAGGGTGCTTGGCAAGGGTGAGGACCAAGTCAATGTTTGCATATTGAGGAAAATTCACAGAATTGGACCTGAAGATAAATTTAATGAGGAAGAGGCTTCATCTACTTGGCTGATATTCCTGGCCTAGCTTCATTTGATGCTTATGGATAATTTGGAATAAAAGAGTAGGTGAAAGGAAGTTATTTGAATTTAGATTGGTCACAGTATTCAGTGTCATTCAGAAGAGTGGTTTGGAGGAAAGATGGCAAGGGATGGCTCATTAACGCATTTTGTGGAAATCTAGTTTGGCCAACCAGAGAGGAAGCAACTAATATTTATTGGAAGACAACTCATTAACTCTGAAACCTCACCGATCACCTGTGGTGTGGCAGGAGCCATGTGAGTGGGTATGGAATCAAAACGTGGTCCCTGACTTAAGGAGGTTGCAGTCAGTGTAATTGCAGTTCAAGCTGAAAGTGTTTGGAGAGGGTTGCATTAAGTGCTCTGGGGATGGGAGTCCAGGGCCAAAGGCTGCCCCAAAGCAGGTGGTGCCGCAGCTTGTTAAATAATAGCCATTAAAGAATGGAAGAATATTCTGGGAAGAAGGAGCAACATGGAGGGCACAAAGGATGTGTGTGGTAATAGCCCTATAAGAACAAAATGTCAGTCAGTACTAGTATTTTGGTACTTATTTTGAAAAGTAACAGAATCTAGGAATTAGTACTGGTATTTCATTTTTAAAGAATTTTTAAAAAGTCGGTACAACTAAATATTTGGTGTGTTTCAAATAGAAAAACATTTTTAAATACCTAGTAAAATATGAATTTTTAAAGTAAATGTTAAATGCCTACTATCATTTAAATATAAGTAATTAGAGAATAAAAACATCAAAAATAAACTTTTAACTACATAAAAATGAAAATATGTTAGATCTTTTAAAAACTACAGTCTTTAAAATAAGAGGCTCCCACGATTTCATGAAGTTGTGAATATACAGAGATGGGCAAAAGTAGGTTTACAGTTCATATGGAAAAAGACATGAAAGTTATGATTATTATAGTAGCTTTATTAACTGTTTTGACTCATAACTATAAACCTACTTTTGTCCACCCCTGTATTTTTGTGCAAGATTTTCTGTAGAATTTTTTTTTTAAACCACAGTGATTGAGAGAGGGAAAATAATTATAAGCTAGTTCCCTGTGGGGGCGACTTTCCTCACAAGTCCCCCCAGCTGCCAGCCACAGGTGAGAGTAAACATGACTGAGACATGATGTGATCTGCTTGGGGAGAAGTGGCCATTTTCCCAGAGGAAAAAGGCCGTGAGCAGTGGCCAGTTTTTCAGGGGAAAAGGGTGTTGAGCCCACTCCTCTAGGGGCTTTTATGGGTTTGTAATACACAGGAATACAGGGTGGCAAGGATCAAACAGTAGATAATATTTCAAAGAAATCTGAGAGCTTAGTATGAGTCAGAGTCTGTCAGGAACAGAGTTTTAGGGTTTCTTGCTCAAATCCTTAACATATGAATGAAAGCACTCTTAGCAGAGCAGATTTCACAGGTTTATCAGGAGGTTTTTGTGATACCAGATTTTTCCCCAGGACACACTCTAGCAAGGCAAGGAGCTGCACCCCTCCCCAACAGGTATTCAGGCTTAAGGGGATTAGAGCCAGGAAGGACTTCTCCCAGAGGACATGGGGACTCGGGCTATGTCAAAGCCGGGGGGCAAGAGTCCATTGCTCTTTGTTGCAGCCCCCCAAGTCCTTCCATGAAGGCCTCCCAAGTGATCGAGTCTGGCTGAGGTTGCCCCCCTGCTGTGAGGGGTCTTACCTGTCATTGACTTCTGACCAAGCTTTGGGGGCAGGGAGAGGAACTGAGGCAGCATTTGCTACCAGAGACAGGCTTTGTCTCCTGCAGCTTGAATTCCAAAGGTCTTCCCTCACCCTTAGCCACAGGGAGTTGAGATACAATTCCTAGAACCAGGCAGAGCGGTCTACAACAATTCCCAATATTTTTCTTTGGTTCAATAATATTTGAATAATTCCTTTTATTTGATAACTTAAAGGAGATCTTTTTTAATTTAAAAATCTGCAAGATATTGATAGTAAGTTCTAGTTTATTGTTTCAGAGAAAGCATTTTTATTTGTCTTTATGTTTGATTTTTATCATGTACATAGACATTCTGATGCAGTTACCCATATGAAAATAAATGTTTTGTCATATTCCATTTATTTAGAAGGTATTTGTATAAAATAAAAACTATTCATACAAGAGAAGTATTAAAATACCATAGTGTATTGTAGACTATATATTAGTTTGTCCTTTCACATAATTATTCTCAAGACATATTTCAGATTAAAAATTTTTTTAAATAATGAGGTGATGGTATTAGGTGAACCTAAAATATTGGTATATGGATCTTTTAAAATATCACAGAATACCAGCAACTGAAACTTCAGTCACTAAAGGTATGAAACTGTAGAAAAAGCTTGAGTAAATTAGATGCATATGTGGCCAGGGAGTACCTTCTTCAGTAGTCGCAGGCTAATGAGAGGGCCAGGTAATAAAAGGCCTTGAACACTAGGCCAAGGATTTTGAGTGGTGTTCTGAAAAATTATGAGGAATCATTGAAAAATTTTAAGATGTAATTTTTTTATAAGGAAGAATATTCTAGTTGCAGATTGGAGGATATTTTATGAAGACCAGGTAAATAAGAGGCTAAGAGTTGTAATCCCAGCAAGAAATGACAGCTGATGGGCTGGACCAAAGCATTTGAAGTGGGTCTGGTGAGGAGGGGTTGGATACGTAAGTTAGTGATTCTGAAAGCATAGTCCCCCGGTGAGCAGCAGAGTTCGCGGTCCTCACCCCAGAAACTGAGACTGAGACCCAGCAATTGGTATTTAACAAGCCCTATAAGTGATTTTGGAAACTTCCACTTTTTAAAAAAAGATTTTATTTCTTAGAGAGAGGAAGGGAGAAAGAGGGGGAAGAAATCATTGATGTAAGAGAGAAACATCTATTGGCTGCCCCTCATACATGCCCCAAACAGGGACCAAACATGCAACCTAGGCATGCATGGGGCGAACTGCAACCAATGGAGCCACACTGGTCAGGGCTGGAGAACTTCTGCTTTGAGGTTAAGTGGTAGGTAGCCTCAGTGAGACTCAGAGAGTGCATACATGGAGATGTGAGTCACTGAGAGGGATCTCAATAGAACCTTCAATTTCCTGGCTTGTTCTACAGGGTAGTTGAGAGTACTTTCATTCAAACAGAAAATGGGAGATGTAGTATGTTTGTGTAAAAACAGTGATAGATCTTGTTTTTGACATGTTGAGTTTGGGGTGCTTTTGAGAAAGCCAAGTAGAATTGTCCTGAGGGTTATTGGGGAAATAGGTCTATACTTCAGCAGATTGCTTTGGGATGGAAATAGAGGTATTAGGGTTTTCAGTACATAAGTGGTAGTTATGTACTAAAAAGGTAATTCAGTTTAAAGATCTTAATTTTTTTTTGCAAATGTATTGACTCAGAGAGAGAGAGATTGATTGATTGATTTGTTTTTCTACTTACTCATACATTCACTGGTGTGTACTCTGACTGGAGGTCAAACCCACAACCTTGGTGTACTGGGATGATGCTCTCAACAACTGAGCTTCAAAGCCAGGGCAGTTTAAGGGACTTGATGAACTTTTCCCTGCATAGTATCAAGATTGAAAAGAGCAGAGATCTAAGAAGCAAACATGAAAGACATCAGGTTCAGGATTAAAAAGGAAAGAGGATTTTGTGAAGAAAGTGGTAATTGATTCCAAAAGATAGACATGCTACCAAATTTGAAAGATGAAAAGGTTAAGCAAAAGGGTCTTCAGCATCCCGTGCTGTAGAGACTAAGGAAAATAAAGATGGACAGGTGTTATTTTAGCTGACACTCAGAGTTGTGGCAACATTAGCATGGTCAGTTTCAGTGAGGCTAGAAGCCAGACAGCAGTGGGCTAAAATGTGAGTGGAGGACGTCAGGTAATCTGATGGACTAAACATCTGTATTTACTTTGGTTGCTTCCTGGAAACATACTAAAATGACAATAAAAGGATTTTTTGTAAGGCCTAAATCTATAAGGGCAAAGAAAGAAAAGATGACAGTCCTAAAAATTTTGGAAGTTGGAAAGCAACCAAAGTTCTTTTCAGCCCAAGAACTCTGAAAAGATATGGAAATTGATGGCACTAGGTTCTTCTGGAAGCAGGGTGTAAAGGTAGAGCAAAA